TACAAATAGGAAGGGCATCTGTCTGGCACTCAGCAGATGGAGCATCAAGCCTCCACCATGTCTTGCAATGAATAACCCACATGGGTTTAGCACTTAACATGAATTATAATTAAATAATAAATTGTAATTAGAGGCAGGGGCGAGCTGAAGCTCCTCTTAAATTTCCATCAGCCTCCAAAAATAATAATGATAAAGCTCTTACAAGACAGGTCCCCCAGCTCCCTCCCCTTACCATACTGAAGCCCTGACGTCTCTGTAGAAAACCTGTGGATGTCTAGCACTTAGTTTTGATAATAATAATTTGTGGATCTGCCCCTGATTATAATCATGGGGGATCACTAAACCCAGAGGGGGGAATAGGAGGTATTCAGGCTTAATTCAGGAAACTAGATCACAGATCCAATTCCCTAGATCAAGAACCCCTCACCAGTATCAAGGAACCTCCCTTGAGGGGTGGAGCTGCCCCTGAATATTATTATAATCATGGGGGAGCGCTAAACCCATAGGATTATACAGCGCATGTGGGGGGGGGGAGATGGAAGGTATTCAGGCTCAATTCAGATCCAATTCCCTAGATCAAGAGCCACTCACCAGCATCAAGGAGCCTCCCTTGAGGGATGCCCCTGAATAAAGGTCTCAGTAGTTATAATGGGGCTACTTACCTGTGTTGACTTGGTAATTAAACAGCTGTCTTTCACTTTTCAAAATAATTTTAATTTAAGAAAACTAATTGGCCGAGTAATTTTTTTTTACTTCCTCCAATTCAAACTGACTGATCTCGAAGATTATAAATGAGCTTTTATATTATTTTAAGTTTTATACTGTGTGCGCTTGGTTTTACAAATCTTTTATTTACATCCACAGTTTCTAAACTTCAACCCTCAGGTTTACTCAGGAATTTTTAACTTTAATATTCTCTTTTATCCATTTATTTTCTTTTTCCATTCTGATCCTTTTCTCTTCATATGCACTATTTTTCACTTAATAGGACAAAAAATCAAAGGTTTCTCAAGGCCAGCTTTCCTCACCTGCCATTGTCTTGTGTATCCCTGGCTGTTTTCTTACATTATACTTGCATACATATACATTCAGTCATTCATTCAACAATCTGTTGGAGTGTGATCAAGATAACATTTATGAAGGGATTTAGGGAAATTGGTTAGCTGGACTCAAGTCCTGGAGGTGGGAAGTACAATGACTACTCTGGAGGAGGGGTGGGGAAGGTTATACATAGTGAGAATGAGTGTGTGTATGTATATATATAAATATACAGTGGACCCTCGACCAACGATGGCATCGTATAACAGTTAAATCCGACTAGCAATACATTTTAAAGCTAACATTTTGCCTCGGCTAACGCTAAAAAAGCTCGACTAATGATATTCGTTCTCGGGTACCAATTAATATCGTTAGTCGAGGGTCCACTGTACATGTATAATGCATGTGTGTGTGTGTGTGTGCAAGTTCAGCTAACTGGTTTCCTGAATTCCCTCATAAAAGCTACCTTGTTCACATTCCAACAGCACATTCATTAAAACTACTTTTTTCTAGTCACACATATCTAACACAAGGCTGCTGCATGCTCAAGCCTTTTCTACCTTCTCCCTTTAACCATGTAAAGTAGCTACATGACCCTTAAGGGTTTAGCACTTCCCATAATTATAAAAAAAAAAAAAAAACCATGTAAAGTAATGGCTTATATTATTATTATAATCAAAAGTAAGCACTAAACCACCAGGGTCATACAGCACTGCAGTTATATAATACAGTACACTAATATAAAAAAAAAAGAATGTTAGGACAAATAACGAGCAATCAGTAACCAAAGTTTAAATATTATTTTAATTTCATGTATATTTGATGCTTATTTATAAGTAAATAAAGAAATGAGACTGGCAATAAATCCTTTTTATTTTCAAATATTTTAGTTGAACTAAAGTATGGTGTACCATTTTTTGTAAAAAATACACAGTTCAAGAACAAAGGCTAAAATGCTAAAAATGCATTTGGACTTTTTCCTTAATATTCCTTTAGTATGGAAATTTTTGTCAACCTCGATTTTACTCTTAATTGTATACCTGAAGTTCTTGCCGCGGAAAAATAAACATACTTGGGCATCCTTGAAAATTATGAAATATAATGAAATGGAAACATTATTATAATCATAATGGAAAGAAAAATACAGAACATTATATGTTATTCTAGCTTCTTAAGTAACCCAATTTTAGCCTTCAACTCAGTATTTTTAATGAATACAGCAGTATTTTTTTTTATGAAAAGTATCCAGTGGAAGTCTTTAAAAAAAATGTGATATACTTCAAAGAGTCTTGGGTACTACGAATAGCTGATGGTTGCACTTGAAATTGGGTAGAAAAAATCACATGACTGATCCAAATTGTTTCAGCCAATAACTGGGACAACATACTCCATTTGATTTTACCAAATTTTTCCTGACTTTACTGAAAGATGTGTAGCAAATAACTGGCATGTGCTATGTAATTTACCTTTCAATATTGAATACAAACAATATGAACCTCTTAACCAAATGCAGCATACAGTCGAATAAGAGATTACAGAAGCATCTAGTCACAATCGTGTTTAATAATACTTAAGCCACCTGAGTCACTTGCTGTACTGGGTACAAATTACAGAAGGAAATTAATGTTCAAATATTTAAAAATAAATAAATGACCTAGATTTTAGTTTTATTTGAAAGGAATTAGTCTTTTGTTTGTTTTATATTGCATTTTAACACTTCAAAATTGGAAAATACACCTGATTTTATATCATACAAGTGTGGAAGTGATATGTGCAAAAGCTCGAAGAAGACGGACTCAGAAAGGTATAAGAACACTTCCTTCCTTGATAAATGAGGCACTTATGCAACATTTGGGTAATTTTAGTCTGGAAAAGTTTTTCCAGCCAGTGGCTTCTTCAGTCCAATACAGGCAGGTCCCGCTTTACAGTGCTTTGCTCTATGGCATTTCGCTAATATGGCGGTTTTCAATTATACCCATTTTTCATTTATTCAGACTTCCTACAATAAATATATTCACCATTCATTATAAACTAAGGATGAAAATATTTTTAAGGTAAGTAAATTGAGTACTGTATACATATATTTTTCAGGCCTAGCTCTATTGCTCACTTAATATATGATAGTGCAGACATGCATTTGAAAGTGAAAAAGGCTGTTTCACTTTACAGTAATTTTTGCTTTACAGCAGTAGCCTGGAACCTAACCTGTTGTATAAACTAGGTCCTGCAGTACAGAGAAAGGTAGAAGAGGAGGAAGAGTTTGAGGTAATCAGTCCCTCAGCTTGGGGTCAATGTGTTCACTCTTGATGGACTTAACACATCGACTACAGGCTGAGGAACTGATTACCTCACACTACTACTATTACTCTTCCACTGCTCTTTGCATTGGACTGAAGAAGACACTGGCTGGCAAAACATTTCCAGAATAAAGATACACAAATGTTACACAAGTGCCTCATTTATCAACTTGTTGGTTTTCTAAACCATTTATTCAAACTTCCTTCCCTACACTGATACTCCAGCTCACTCGGAAGACTGCAAATGTATTTATAGTCAGAATCCACTTGAAAAATGTAAAAACCACCTAATGTAACACTGCACCAGGGAGAATGAAAAATCTTCAGTGTAACGTCTGCCTCACACTAGTACTGTCATGACAACTTGCCCATGTAATCACATATAGCTACTGTCTAGAAATTTATCTTGAATAATACGTATATTGGTTTCTACATCAGTTTGTTATTATCAGGGTAGGGTGACTCAGAGGAGGATATGCATTCAATTTCATTCATTCAAGAGCTGTTTTACAAGAAGTGCACAGGTATCCCTATTCAAATAAATATAAGGTATATTAGCTGTGTATGTCCTGCTTTATATCCGAGTCTGCAAAAAATGCTATATTCGTAGTAATTGCTCTCTAGTTGGTTTTTTGTTATTTAACTTCATGCATAAGAGATGAGTGAGGATCATCCCTTTGTGACTAGACAAGTTTGAATTGGGAAGATATATGCAACATTTCAAACAAAGAAAATTGATTAGTGTAGCCATGATAAACTCACCATTGTGTATTTGCAAAACTTCAGAGGGCAGTGTTTTTTTTTTTTATTTGTTTTGCAGTGTTTTATGTAGTGTTTTTGCAATGCTTTTTGAAGTATTTACTGTTATGTTTTTGTAGTTTTATTATGCACAATTGGAAAAGTAATTTGAAAGAGCAGAATGAAAGAAATCCTAATATCTGCTCATTAATTTCCTCAGATGTTAAATTATACATCTAGTCTTCAACTGCTGCTATCAAGTGGAATGGAAACAATTACTTTTAATGGCATAATATGCAGTAAATGTAACAATTTCTTAATCATTACTTCTTGTTATTTTGTAGCATTTAACAATTTCTTAAACAAAGAAATGGTAAAAATTCTCTTTTTTAATGATTTTTAATGCGTTTTATACTAAATGATGGAAGCCAATTTTATTTATATCTGAAACCATACCAATCACATTATTATTAAAATCAGAACTAAGCACTAAACCCACAAGGGTCATAACCAATCACATTGATAAAGATTATCCTGAAACTAAATGAAAAAAACATTCAACTCGAAACTTCATAAATATATTTCAGTGGTCTTATTCCTTACAAATAATACTTTTCAATCAAACGTGGTGAACCAAAACTAAGTTTTCAAAACTAAATATTGTTTGGAAAACAAATCAATATTATAGAAAATAGTGCTGTACGTCCCTTGTGGGTTCAGTACATAAGTTTGGATTGTAATAAAACCATACCACAGGCGGGATTTGAACCCGCGGTCAGAGAGTCTCAAAACTCCAGACCTGGATTGTAATAATAATACAGAAAATAGCAAGCTATACATAAAAATATTAAACCGAGTACTGATTCCTTAGGAACAATATGTTAATTTCAACCACTTGGATATACACTACTTATTGGTAAAAAAAAAAAAAAAAAAAAAAAAAAAAAAAAAGACTTACTCAAAGCTGTCTCCTATACCATGCAGCTTTATGTGACTGAATAATCTATTTTAAGTAGTATAGAAAGTTATTGATAGTTTTGTGGAAATCAAGGTACCCTATACTGGTGGAATTCTTTGTTTTAAGTCCTAATTCTTGTAATATGAAAAGCAACTGAAGAATACTAATAAATTAGACTAATTACAAAATCCAGGTTGATTATCAGTTAACAAATAATTTTTCTTTTCAGATTTTATGATCTTAGCCTTAATGTACCTAACACTGATGTCAACCAGAGCCATTTTTTTTATATTCCTGGGAAGTGCTAAACCCATAGCAGTTATATGGTGCCTGAAATGCACTGTATAACTCCTATGGGTAGCTCCAATTCCTTGACTTAAAGAGTCCTTCACTAGTATCAAGGTCACTCCCCAGCAATGGAATGATCAATTATTGATGGAATACCTTTTCTGCAGCTAAGGCACACAAGGTAGTGTTATGAAATGGGATGATGCCAAAAGGCTAAGTTTCTCTGGAAGGAATGCCCATATGTTGCCCATGGCAACTGTGTTTAACACAATCAGGCCATTAATATTGAATTCTGCAAAAGTACCTTTGAATCATATAATGATTGAATCATATAATGAATGAATCATATAAACTGGGTATGGTACAGTGGATAACACAATGGCTTGGTAGTTTTAGGGCTGGCTTGCCATGGGTTTGAACCCCACTTTGTTCAACAAGATGTTTAGAAATGTGTTATTGCCATTTCACGAGTCAATTGTAAAAGGCTTTGCAAACCACACCAATCACTTAATGGCAAATGTATATCACTGATGAAAATGAAATATCACATAACAGCTAATGTGCATTAAGCTAAGGAAACCAATACAACTATAATGCAGGGCTGCCTTCATTTCATTATTATACTTATGAATAAACTATGCAGTTTACCAAGCTCAAGGTTTGTCAAAAAAGGCATGTGTCATGACTAGACTAGTTATGAGGCAATTTTTTTTAGTGAAAAATGACAAAAGGTTCATTGTATCAAATGAGAATCTTATAATACTCATATATGTTTCCTTTATGGTCTATAAATGTGCCATTGCCTATTTAAATAATTTCAATACAGGAATAAACAAAATCATGCTAAAATGCACAATATACAGGCAACAACAGGTATACTTAACATTAGAGGTACAAAAAAATTTCACTTCCTTGAAAGTTAAAAAATGAAATTAGTCACGCATCTATTGCTATTTAACTCCCATTTTCCTTTACTGTACATACATTCACAAAAATAAAGCTAAAAAAGTTATCATTTAAATATTATCTAGTTTTCCTCCTTAACAATAATAAATATATACATGTTTACATACAGAATGAGCATTGGATGACAAAGCACATTTGATAATGAGAAACTTTCCTTGAAAAGTAAAGTACTATACATAAGAATATAATAATTTACTTAAGACTATGGCCTCACTATTGTAGCTTGAGTTCAATGTTAAACAACCTAAAAGATCCCTTGTGTAGAGGGAGCCACAAGCGCTATACACATTATGAAAACCATACTCCTTGGGATCAGCTGCTACACACTTAGTGAAACTGCTGCAATGCTGTCTTCACTCTGTGGGGCAAGACAAAATGTATATATTAGATTCAGTATATATACATATAAATATATACCCTGCCTCGGTGGGAGACGGCCGACTTGTTGAAAAAAAAAAAAAAAAAAAATATATACCTATACACACCCATGCACGTATTTTTATAAACATACCGGCCATCTCCTACCAAGGCATCTAGTAATTTATACAGGAGAAGGGGTTACTAGCCCCTTGCTCCTGGCATTTCAGTCACCTCTTATGACACACATGGCTTATGGAGGAAGGATTCTTCTCCACATCCCCATGGAGATACTAGATGAGCCTGGTCCATGGCTGGGCTCCAGGGGTAGAAAGACTTGGAATTCACCAAAGGTATATACACATACTCAAATAACCCGCACATAAAAGAGAAAAGCTTACGACGACGTTTCGGTCCAAGTCGGACCGAAACGTCGTCGTAAGCTTCTCTCTTTTATGTGCGGGTTATTTGTGTATCGTTCCAGTCACGGTATTGTGCCTTTTTTGTTATTTAGTTATTATTTGTTATATATACACATATTGTAATTTATGGCATTATATTAACTCAAAATCACTTGAAAAATTATGAGACTGATAGACAATAAAAATGTAAATTTAAAAACTGCAAGAATGAATTCAATAAAAAAGAAATACAAAACCTGGATATCAACATATCAGATGTCTTAGCCTATAAGACTATTCTACATTCTAAATCCATTAATGCAATGATAACTTCCTTGCCTTTATCTAAATATTGTTCACTTATATGCTTCAATGTAAATACTTGGACTACACATCCCCCAATGAAAAGCAGGGGTGCCACGAGTACACTGAGAGACAACACAATAAGTGTCAGGGGTCCAAGACTGTTAAACTGCCCCCCAGCATACATAAGGGGGATTATCAATAGACCCCTGGCTGTCTTCAAAAAGGCACTGGACAGGCACCTAAGTCAGTACCTGACCAGCCGGGCTGTGGTTTGTATGTCAGTTTGCGTCTGACCAGCAGTAACAGCCTGGTTGATCAGACCCTGATCCACCACAAGGCCTGGTCTCAGACCGAGCCGCTGAGGCGTTGACCCTCGAAACCTCCAGGTATACCTCACGTATCCCCTACCCTTCCTAAAGCCTCCCTGTTATCTGCGATCCTGCTCTACGTCTTATCCTTAATTCTTTCAATAATAATTCTACCATACTCTTTATCTGGTGTAATTTTTACACTCTCTTTTGTCCCTCTTTCAGATTTCTGTAATATTTTACATTTTTTTTTTTTCAACAAGTCGGCCGTCTCCCACCGAGGCAGGGTGACCCAAAAAAGAAAGAAAATCCCCAAAAAGAAAATGCTTTCATCATCATTCAACACTCTCACATAATCACTGTTTTTGCAGAGGTGCTCAGAATACAACAGTTTAGAAGCATATACATATAAAGATACACAACATATCCCTCCAAACTGCCAATATCCCAAACCCCTCCTTTAAAGTGCAGGCATTGTACTTCCCATTTCCAGGACTCAAGTCCGACTATATGAAAATAACCGGTTTCCCTCAATCCCTTCACTAAATATTACCCTGCTCACACTCCAACAGATCGTCAGGTCCCAAGTACCATTCGTCTCCATTCACTCCTATCTAACACACTCACGCACACTTGCTGGAAGTCCAAGCCCCTTGCCCACAAAACCTCCTCTACCCCCTCTCTCCAACCCTTTCGAGGACGAACCCTACCTCGCCTTCCTTCCCCTATAGATTTATATGCTTTCCATATCATTCTACTTTGATCCATTCTCTCTAAATGACCAAACCACCTCAACAACCCCTCTTCTGCCCTCTGACTAGTACTTTTATTAACTCCACACCTTTTCCTAATTTCCACACTCCGAATTTTCTGCATAATATTTACACCACACATTGGCCTTAGACAGGACATCTCCACTGCCTCCAACCGTCTCCTCACTGCTGCATTTACCACCCAAGCTTCACATCCATATAAGAGTGTTGGTACTACTATACTTTCAAACATTCCCTTCTTTGCCTCCATAGATAACGTTTTTTGACTCCACATATACCTCAATGCACCACTCACCTTTTTTCCCTCATCAATTCTATGATTAACCTCATCCTTCATAAATCCATCCGCCGACACGTCAACTCCCAAGTATCTGAAAACATTCACTTCTTCCATACTCCTCCTCCCCAATTTGATATTCAATTTTTCTTTATCTAAATCATTTGATACCCTCATCATCTTACTCTTTTCTATGTTCACTTTCAACTTTCTACCTTTACACACATTCCCAAACTCATCCACTAACCTTTGCAATTTTTCTTTAGAATCTCCCATAAGCACTGTATCATTAGCAAAAAGTAACTGTGTTAATTCCCATTTTGAATTTGATTCCCCATAATTTAATCCCACCCCTCTCCTGAGCACCCCAGCATTTACTTCTTTTACAACCCCATCTATAAATACAGTGGACCCCCGGTTAACGATATTTTTTCACTCCAGAAGTATGTTCAGGTGCCAGTACTGACCGAATCTGTTCCCATAAGAAATATTGTGAAGTAAATTAGTCCATTTCAGACCCCCAAACATACACGTACAAACGCACTTACATAAATACACTTACATAATTGGTCGCATTCGGAGGTAATCGTTATGCGGGGGTCCACTGTATATTAAACAACCATGGTGACATTACACATCCCTGTCTAAGACCTACTTTTACTGGGAAGTAGTCTCCCTCTCTTCTACACACCCTAACCTGAGCCTCACTATCCTCATAAAAACTCTTTACAGCATTTAGTAACTTATCACCTATTCCATATACTTGCAACATCTGCCACATTGCTCCCCTATCCACTCTATCATATGCCTTTTCTAAATCCATAAATGCAATATAAACTTCCCTACCTTTATCTAAATACTGTTCACATATATGCTTCAATGTAAACACTTGATCTACACATCCCCTAACCACTCTGAAACCTCCTTGCTCATCCGCAATCCTACATTCTGTCTTACCTCTAATTCTTTCAATTATAACCCTACCGTACACTTTTCCTGGTATACTCAATAAACTTATTCCTCTATAATTTTTACAATCTCTTTTGTCCCCTTTCCCTTTATAATAAAGGGACTATACATGCTCTCTGCCAATCCCTAGGTACCTTCCCCTCTTTCATACATTTATTAAACAAAAGTACCAACCACTCCAACACTATATCCCCCCCTTCTTTTAACATTTCTGTCATGATCCCATCAGTTCCAGCTGCTTTACCCCCTTTCATTCTACGTAATGCCTCACGTACCTCCCCCACACTTACATTCTGCTCTTCTTCACTCCTAAAAGATGGTATACCTCCCTGACCAGTGCATGAAATTACCGCCTCCCTTTCTTCCTCAACATTTAAAAGTTCCTCAAAATATTCTCGCCATCTACCTAATACCTCCCTCTCCCCATCTACTAACTCCCCTACTCTGTTTTTAACTGACAAATCCATACTTTCCCTAGGCTTTCTTAACTTGTTTAACTCACTCCAAATTTTTTTCTTATTTTCATTAAGATTTCTTGACAGTGCCTCTCCCACTCTATCATCTGCTCTCCTTTTGCACTCTCTCACCACTCTCTTCACCTTTCTTTTACTCTCCATATACTCTGCTCTTCTTATAACACTTCTGCTTTGTAAAAACCTCTCATAAGCTAACTTTTTCTCTTTTATCACACCCTTTACTTCATCATTCCACCAATCACTCCTCTTTCCACCTGCCCCCACCCTCCTATAACCACAAACTTCTGCCCCACATTCTAATACTGCATTTTTAAAACTATTCCAACCCTCTTCAACCCCCCCACTACTCATCTTTGCACTAGCCCACCTTTCTGCCAACAGTCGCTTATATCTCCCCCGAACTTCCTCCTCCCTTAGTTTATACACTTTCACCTCCCTCTTACTTGTTGTTGCCACCTTCCTCTTTTCCCATCTACCTCTTACTCTAACTGTAGCTACAACTAAATAATGATCCGATATATCAGTTGCCTCTCTATAAACATGTACATCCTGGAGCCTACCCATCAACCTTTTATCTACCAATACATAATCTAACAAACTACTTTCATTACGTGCTACATCATACCTTGTATATTTATTTATCCTCTTTTTCATAAAATATGTATTACTTATTACCAAATTTCTTTCTACACATAGCTCAATTAAAGGCTCCCCATTTACATTTACCCCTGGCACCCCAAATTTACCTACTACTCCCTCCATAACATTTTTATCCACTTTAGCATTGAAATCCCCAACCACCATTACTCTCACACTTGATTCAAAACTCCCCACGCATTCACTCAACATTTCCCAGAATCTCTCTCTCTCTCCTCTACACTTCTCTCTTCTCGAGGTGCATACACGCTTACTATAACCCACTTTTCATATCCAATCTTTATTTTACTCCACATAATCCTTGAATTTATACATTTGTAGTCCCTCTTTTCCTGCCATAGCTTATCCTTCAACATTATTGCTACTCCTTCTTTAGCTCTAACTCTATTTGAAACCCCTGACCTAATCCCATTTATTCCTCTCCATTGAAACTCTCCCACCCCCTTCAGCTTTGTTTCACTTAAAGCCAGGACATCCACTTTCTTCTCATTCATAACATCCACAATCATCTCTTTCTTATCATTTGCACAACATCCATGCACATTCAGACTTCCCACTTTGACAATTTTCTTCTTCTTATTCTTTTCAGTAATCTTTACAGGAAAAGGGGTTACTAGCCCATTGTTCCCGGCATTTTAGTTGACTTTTACAACACGCATGGCTTACGGAGGAAAGATTCTTATTCCACTTCCCCATGGATATAAAAGGAAAAGTAATAAGACCAAGAACTATTAAGATAAAATCAAAGAAAACTCAGATGAGTGTGTATAAATAAACGTGTACATGTATGTGTAGTGTGACCTATACCTTGTATATTTATTTATCCTCTTTTTCATAAAATATGTATTACTTATTACCAAATCTCTTTCTACACATAGCTCAATTAAAGGCTCCCCATTTACATTTACCCCTGGCACCCCAAATTTACCTACTACTCCCTCCATAACATTTTTACCCACTTTAGCATTGAAATCCCCAACCACCATTACTCTCACACTTGATTCAAAACTCCCCACGCATTCACTCAACATTTCCCAAAATCTCTCTCTCTCCCCTACACTTCTTTCTTCTCCAGGTGCATACACGCTTACTATAACCCACTTTTCACATCCAATCTTTATTTTACTCCACATAATCCTTGAATTAATACATTTATAGTCCCTCTTTTCCTGCCATAGCTTATCCTTCAACATTATTGCTACTCCTTCTTTAGCTCTAACTCTATTTGAAACCCCTGACCTAATCCCATTTATTCCTCTCCATTGAAACTCTCCCACCCCCTTCAGCTTTGTTTCACTTAAAGCCAGGACATCCAGCTTCTTCTCATTCATAACATCCACAATCATCTCTTTCTTATCATTTGCACAACATCCATGCACATTCAGACTTCCCACTTTGACAATTTTCTTCTTCTTATTCTTTTTAGTAATCTTTACAGGAAAAGGGGTTACTAGCCCATTATTCCCGGCATTTTAGTTGACTTTTACAACACGCATGGCTTACGGAGGAAAGATTCTTATTCCACTTCCCCATGGATATAAAAGGAAAAGTAATAAGACCAAGAACTATTAAGATAAAATCAAAGAAAACTCAGATGAGTGTGTATAAATAAATGTGTACATGTATGTGTAGTGTGACCTAAGTGTAAGTAGAAGTAGCAAGACATACCTGTAATCTTGCATATTTATGATACAGACAATATTAAAGAATATTAAAAGAAGAACTACTCATCACAGGATAAGCAAGGTTCTCCATAGAGCATCATTAAACATTAAAATTATAGACCTATCACAGTCACAAGTGTAGTTGTCAAAGTATCTTAAAAAAGTGAGTAAAATATCAAAAAGAAACAAGTTCCTTATTAACCATTTTCTGTCCTGACAAACTGAATACAGTAATGCCTCACCCTGCATGCCGATCTTACATCTGGCCTTCTAAGCTGGAAAGGAAATATTACGAAACTAAAATATATTAGGAAACAGGAAAATAAAGTATATACTGAATGTAAGTAGAAGTTTGTAAAATTTACCCTTCATCTTATATGTTTATGAGACAGAAAGGAAAAATCAATAATTTTCCAAGAATGCAAAACATTAGGCTTCTGTTTCACATTCCTAAGAGAGTACAATAGTACCTCCCTGAGATAATACTAGTTCAATATAGCAACATTATGAGGACTTACTTATCAAATAGTGCTGTATCAGTTGTTGTCATGAGGTTTTGTAGTAGCTTATAAACACCCATGTCCCGAAGTTTATTTTGTCTCTCTGCTGCGCCTTCTTCCACATTCCAAATGAGGTTACTTATACAGAAAGTTGCTGCTATTTGAAGTTTTACATTTGGTATAACCTGAAAAAATACTCTCTCTTATGTATGCATTTAAACTAAATGTTCTATCACAGAAACACATAAACAAGAAGCTTTAGCATTTTTTTTTTCCAATGCACCAGCCGTATCCTACCGAGGCAGGGTGACCAAAACAGAAAAAAAGAACGCTTTTCTTTTTACATTTAGTAATTTATATAGGAGGAGGGGTAAGTAGCCCCTTTGCTCCTTCAACATTTATGTCTGTTTAAAGTGTAAGGGCAAAGAACAACAAGATTATCTAAAATGTTTCATCTGAAGATTTTACAATACTTACCATGTAATTCATTAACTTCTTGAGCACATCTTCATTTGACATAATAGCATTTTTTGCCATATCTCCATCAGCAATATTAGCCAGGATACAAAGTGCTTGTTCTTTGACTTCAGCTGAGTGTTCCCCTTCAAGAATCAAAATTATGGCCTGAAAATAAAGAAAACATTAGTGAGAATAGCTATTCATCAGGCTAAAGAGAGGAGAAAGAGAGAGGGAGTCATATCTGACAAGTAAATGTAAGGGACAGAAAATAATACAAGAAATTACTAACAATATTATGGGTGAGATTACCTTTACCCTCTATGTGGCATTACTGGCCTCAATCAATCACAGCAAATAAAAATTGGACAAAATTTTAAGTGTATTAGTGCTGAATTATTAATATGCTGTATTCACAAAAACAAAGTGTTGGAGAGTAAAACTGTCAAATCTTGCTTTTACTCTAGGATGAAACCAGAGATACACAGCAATGTTTGAGGGAGGGAGGGAGAATAGCAGAAAACATTCACTCCAAACTAAATTTTTCCTCACTGCCAAGCTTATTGTACTGTTCTTGTTTTCACACTTTCTCTATAATCACCAGGATGTGCAATTAATGTAGAATCGCATCTCAAGTAGAAACATCAAGATAGAAGTCGTAGAAATATGCATCTACAAGCGTACTATATGAACAGTACGCTTGTGGATGCATTGTTAAACTGTTAGTGCATATTGAATACACCTTTCCGACTGCTCTGACACAAGGATTTTACATGATTTCAGCATCATATGTGTGTGTAATACTCTATGGAAAAGCAGACAAGAATCTTTCCTCTGTAACCCGTGTGTGTTGTAAGAGGTGACTTAAATGTCAGGAGCAAGGAGCTAGTAACCCCTTCTGTAAAAATTACTGAAAGGTAATAAAAAGAAAACTTTATAAGGTTTCTTCTTTTTTGAGTCACCCTGCCTCAGTAGATGACTGGTATGGTGAAAAAAAGAAAAATGTGTGATACAAGTTAGGATGTCTAATAGACATGATTGAAAAAAAAAGACTTTAGGTTGAAGGGGTACTGGTCGCCTGGTTATACAGTGGACACACTAAAAATCTCCAGCGTGTATGTGGTAACCAAATTTTTTGTTACGTAAATTTTTTAAATTTATGGTGTGTAAAGACAAGGCTTTCTGCATCACTTAATTTTTTCGGGTTACAATTTTTGAATGGCATAATAATGAAATCATGCAAACAAAGGAAGCAAAATATGTGGGTCTACTGGATATTATTCACAGACTATGAATTTTAGGACTCACTGACTAACCTGCATAATTTCTTTTCCGTGACACTGCATAATTTGGTCAATGTGCCCTTTGGTGGAGAGCAGATTGCGAAGAAGTCCCAACGTTTTCATGAGGATGTGTACATCTGTATCTGACAACAGTCGGAATATTTGGTCTGTTCCCAGGTGATGCAAAATGGAAACCTGCAACACCAAGATCTATTATTTAATATCTTCATATGTATTAATAACTATCCTAATAATTATCAACTTCCCATTTGCTTAGATAAAATAAGAGTAATACAGTACATAAACAAAGCAGCTTAGTTATTCAAAGCAACATATCATTTTACACTATTCTTTAGACTATACAATATACTGAATTAGTACCGACTGCCTCCCAGCATATGTAAAGGGGATTACCAATAGACCCCTGGCTGTCTTCAAAAAGGCACTGGATAGGCACCTAAAGTCAGTACGTATCTGACCAGCTGGGTTGTGGTTCGTACGTTGGTTTGCGTGTGGCCAGCAGTAACAGCCTGGTTTATCAGACCCTGATCCACCACGAGGCCTGGTCTCAGACTGAGCCGCGGGGGTGTTGACCCCCAAAACCCTCTCCAGGTATACCATATTATAGCACATCATCTACTGCAGCATCTGGACCCTTCACTGACTCAATGTTCAGTACAGCCTTTTTGAGATGTCACAGACAGTGGCACTCATTCCCTCCTAACATTACTTCCACTCAGTGTTGCTCGTTGCTGCTTCTCGTGAACTGTTTATGCTATATTCATACCAAGGTGCCAGAGCAACCAGGCTGTGATGGATATGTGGGGCAGTGGGCCACCAGCAGCAACAGCCTGGTTGACCAGGCAAGCATCAGATGAGCCTGGCCCATGGCCGGGCTCCGGGAGTAGAAAGACTCTCGGAACTCATCCAAAGTAAGGTTAATCGTGCACTTGCTTACCACAGCTGCTAATCTTCTTTGAACTTCTCTTCTCTTACCCTGAAGTTCACTATATAACTTATTTTCACTATGATACGTAGAATCTTCCATGCATGTTGCAAGACGCGACTAACATGCCAGGAGCAAGGGGATACTAAGCCCTTCTCCTGTATACATTACTAAAGGTGTCTTCTTGAAAGAAGACACCTGGACTTTAATATAAATGTTGAAAGAAGGCGACGACTTAGAATCTTTCATCCAAAAATAAGGAAGGATCATTAATTTTTTTTTTTTTTAACAAGTCGGCCGTCTCCCACCGAGGCAGGGTGACCCAAAAAGAAAGAAAATCCTCAAAAAGAAAATACTTTCATCATCATTCGTTCTAGTGATATTTGCTTTTGACTCTTACCTTCTCTTTGAGTGTGTGTCTACTAATAACATACTTGTATTACCTGTGTATTGTATCACCTGTTGCAGGGCTCAAGTACTTTCACCTCTCATAGCCAGATCTGATTAGAGGCTTCCATGAATTTCTGATCATCTAGACCAAGGGTTCTTAACCAGGGGTATCCATATCCCTTGGGGGTATGGAAACCATATAATGGGGGGTATAGAACTCAATCTCTGAACACTTTTAATAAAATTTGCTGTTAGATTAGAATAAACTACCAGCTGTTTTGCTCCTAGCTATCCATGTGTAAAGTAAAACCAAATTATTGACATCTTTTGAAGTCATACTGGTACCTAATAGGATTGGTGATGATGATTTTGACAGTCTGGTGAAGGGGGTATGGGGACATGTTGGGCAATCCACTGGGGGTCTGCAATGGGAGAAAGGTTAGGTACTACTCTAAATGGTTGACAATGTACTCGTTTCTGTTGGTGTTTTGCTTATCCTTTTGATGGTCTAGAATCGTAAAAAGGTTAAGTACCCCTGATCCAGACCATTGCTTCTTGCTCCAGGAGGCAACTACAAGCAGTACAATCTAAGAAAACATTAACTAACACACTGACAAATGATTCACTAACCTTCACTCTATGCTCAGCTTGGAAAGCCATATTCATTAAAGCCCACACAGCATTTAATCTGAGTCCTGGGTGTGGCCGTCTTGTAAGACCACAAAGAAACTCTACAGCTCCCTGATCCAAAATATGCTCTTTAGATGGTGAAAATTCAAGGAGGAGGTTGCAGAGCGTGGAGGAGGCTACTGTCACTAACTCTTCACTGCTGGACGTTTTCAGTACTGTCATGAGAGGTCTCCATACCATGTGGTCCTGGCCAAAATTATAGTAGTAAATCAGTCAGTGTATCAACAATGAAGACTAGTGCAAAACTATTTTTTAAAATGATTAAAAATGCTATCAAATGTCAAATCTTCATTTTTTTTTTTTTTAGCAAGTTGGCTGTCTCCCACCAAGGTAGGGTGACCCAAAAATAAAGAAAATCCCCAAAAAGAAAATACTTTCATCATCATTCAACACTTTCACCTCTCTCATACATAATCATTGTTTTTGCAGAGGTGCCCAGAACACAACAGTTTAGAAGCATATACATGTACATATAAAGATACACAATATATCCCTTCAAACTGCCAATATCCCAAATCCCTCCTTTAAAATGTAGGCATTGTACTTCCCATTTCTAGTACTCAAGTCCAGCTATATAAAAATTACCGATTTCCCTGAATCACTTCACTAAATATTACCTTGCTCACACTCCAACAGCTCGTCAGGTCCCAAATACCATTCGTCTCCATTCACTCCCATCTAACACACTCACGCATGCTTGCTGGAAGTCCAAGCCCCTCGCCCACAAAACCTCCTTTACCCTCCCCCTCTCTTGAGAGGGGGAGGGTAAAGGTCTGTCATATCAAGGTCTTATATTTTACATCTAAAATTTTACCTGAAAAGTTGTCCTAAGTGTATGTACAGATCTTGAGAGAGAGTGGAGACATCTGACTGCTGCAAGCTGAACTGCTGGACACGCTGCAGATAGGGAAGTTACTATGGTGTTCATCAGGCCATCAGTTTTAATAACTCTTTGTCTAATATCTTCATCGTTAGCTCCTAGAGAAGCATATACCTTTAGAGCAGCTTCTAGCATCAACTCAGGCCATGTGCTTGGGTTGTCGTATTGTCGACATGACTGCAAATAGAAGTGTTATATAAAAAGGAGGCAAAAAATTATTTCAATGTTTCTTTTAAACTAAATTAAAACTTAGAATTTAAACAAGGTCAGTTGTGTAAGCTCTTCATAACTTCTTTTGATCATTATATGCTTCCAACAAGATGATGATAGAGGTAATGATGGTGAAAGTATTCCTTTCTTGGGCCACCCTGCCTTGGTGGGAGATGGCCAGCATGTTAGAAAAAAAAAAATGGAGTCAAGTACTGAAAGTACAGATTGCTCAGAGCAGGCCTATGATCCATCTGACTTGAGATAACATCTAAGAAAATTTTTTAAGGAATAATTACCATACAAATCAAAGACATCAATAGCCAGGTACCAACATTAATGTTCAATTCTCTGAAGAATCAAATTCCAAATTTTTATGCTTGAACTGTATTGGGACTGCAATATTTCTCAGTTACTTTCTTGATTTTCTTCCTCCTCACTTCACTGCCTATTAACATACGTTCTTGGATGATTCATGTATGTCGCTCTTCCACTTACACACCTCACTTATATACATTACCTATGATCCACTGCAAGGCTGTCCATGACCAGGCCTTGCAGTGGATCAGGGCCTGATCAACCAGGTTGTTACTGCCAACTGCATGCAATCCAATGTACGAACCATAGCCTGGTTGGTCAGGTACTGGCTTTAGGTACCTATCCAGCTCTCTCTTGAAGACAGCCAAGGGTCTATTGGCAATCCCCCTTATGTATGCTGGGAGATAGTTTTGAGAGTTTTCCTACTTCCTCAGCCCATCTCTGGGCCAGGTTACTACAATAAAGCACTTAAGTTTGGAATCATTCTTCAGATAATCAGATTTTTTTTTTTGTCCTCAGAAAAAAATATAACTCTTTGAGATGAACCAAAGTTTCAAGAAAAATTCTTCATTCAAAAATAGGTACAAATATACAGGCATTACAAAAGTCAACACTAGACAAACAGCTACCCAGAGATTTATTTTTACCTTAAGAGTTGTCTCCCACCAAGGCAGGGTGACCCAGAGAAGGAAACACATTCACCATCAATCATTCATCACTCTCTTGCCAGAAATGTCTTGACATCACAATTCAGATTACCCTGCTGGCACGCTGCCAGTGGCAACAGCCTGGTTGACCAGGTTGTGAGAGTAGGAGAAACTCTCTAAACCCATCAAAGGCATACACCTCCTCCAGAGTGAAGGTACTGCCTTCTTACCTCCAGAACTTGAGTCCAACTACTGATTTCCCTGGATCTTTACCCATACATTTTTTTTTTAATAAACTGGCCATCTTCCACCTCAGTATGGTGACCCAACAAAGAAGAAACACTTTCATCATCACTCACTCCATCACTGTCTTGCTGTAATTTAGTGAGGAAAAGTGATGTAAGTTTGGTAAGCATCACATAGTTATGAGTAGCAGTGAGTGGGAGTGGTGGGAGATCAAAGTTATTCATCATATTTCTTTAACACATTCTATCACTTACTATTATTTATACATCCTATCAAGCACCATCATGTATACAAACTCTTAATAAAGCTAAGTGGCAAACTACTGGCATTAAAAAACTGATAGCATTTTACATCTATTTTCATCATGGTCAGATAAATCCATTAGTAATGATATGCTTTACCATGCACTTGCATATATACAAGGCTCATGATGATAAATATTACTGCAATTATACTACCAACTGCTGCTAAATGAAGACAATACAATAAAGAATGATTAAGTATGGTGAAACCTCGGTGTTCGTCATTAATTCATTCCAGAAAGTCTGATGAAAGCAGAATTCAACTAAAACCAGGGCAAATGTAAACCGAGGTTCCACTGTACCAATATTCCCAAAAGGAGTTTTACGACTCACTCACCATGGGTTCAAATCCCATCCCTGACCATTATATATATTCCCTCACACATACATGAAAAACAAAGTTATTTTTATACTTAAATAATGATGGAATGTCCAAGAAGGTAACTCACAATAGGTGATCCACAAATTCCCTGGGGAGCACTGGCTCCAGCTGATGAAGTAGTATCTTTAAGATAATCATTCATGGTGTGTATGAGATGGTCAGTCATGGCTGCTGTTCTCTGTAGCTCTGTGCTCACTTCTGTTAGGTATGCCAGAGTGTTGGCCGCCTCCACCCGCTCCCACACTTCTCGATCTCGCCGACACATCCGTACCTGTTGGTTGTGACATTACAGTAATTAGTAATAATAAATCAAGAGGGACATCTAAATTGTCATATATGCGCACCTCTGGAAAGACAGTGATAGTGTAAATGATGGTGAAAGTGTTTCTTTTTTGGGTCAATCTGCCTCAGTGGGAGATGGCCAGCATGTTAAAAAAAAATCAAGAGAATTTTTGACAATACTAGAGGATGAGGAACTTTAGGAACTCCACAACTTTATTATTATTATTACTGTATTACTTTTATTTTTTAACATGCCGGCCATCTCCTGCCAAGGCATGGTGGCCCAGAAAAGAAGAAACACTCTCACCATCATTCACTATTACTGTCTTGCCAGAGGCTTGGCTCTGGCAAGATTTATATGCCCTCTTCATCATCCTATTCCTCTCTATCCTCTTTACATGCCAAAAAATTATATTTGCATCTACAAAATCTCCTTCCTCCTTTATTATGTCTGATGTGGAGAGAAAGCCTTGGAGTAGAGTAGAGGTTTGAAAGTGCGTGGGCTGAGCCTAGAGGACAAAATATTATACAGATAATTATAGTTCAACCTAGGAAGTAGGTTGGTAAACAGCAACCGCCCAGGGAGGTACTACCGTCCTGCCAAGTGAGTGTAAAATGAAAGCCTGTAATTGTTTTACATGATGGTACGATTGCTGGTGTCCTTTTTTCTGTTTCATGAACATGCAAGATTTAAGGTATGTCTTGCTACTTCTACTTGCACTTAGGTCACACTACACATACATGTACAAGCACATATATACACACCCCTCTGGGTTTTCTTCTATTTTCTTTCTAGTTCTTAGTCTTGTTTATTTCATCTTATCTCCATGGGGAAGTGGAACAGAATTCTTCCTCCGCAAGCCATGCGTGTTGCAAGAGGCAACTAAAATGCCGGGAGCAATGGGCTAGTAACCTCTTCTCCTGTATATATTACTAAATTTAAAATGAGAAACTTCTGTTTTTCTTTTTGGGCCACCCCACCTCAGTGGGATACGGCTGGTGCGTTGAAAGAAAGAAATAATTATAGTTCAAGGCTAGTAACCCCTTCTCCTGTAGAAATTACTAAATTTTAAAAGAGAAACTTTCGTTTTTCTTTTTGGGCCACCCTGCTTCGGTGGGATACAGCCGGTTTGTTGAAAGAAGAAGAATTATAGTTCAGTGGCTCAGAACAAGGAAGACATGAGTCATAAGATATTATGACCAGCATTTTGAATTTTGAGATACATTAGTACTTGGCAGATATCACAAAAAAATTATTTTGAAATCTTGCCAGTTTTAAGGAGTCTCTGGAGCTGATAACAGATGGAATGCATGGGATGTATAGAAATATACCTAGTTAGATGAATCTTATTGTAGCCAGCTGGCCCAGTGGCTTACACACTGGCCTGGAGTTTTATGACTCACTCGCTATGGGTTCGGACCCCACCCATTCTGTGGTCTGCTTGCAACCCTGTTATTACTGATTTCGTGAGTCAGGATTATTAGTTTTACCGTGAGAAAAATTATAGGACCTGTGATTCCTGGATCACGGGAGGCTGTCTCAATGAGCACTCAGCTCATTCTCGAACTCACCAAACACTGTAATGTTTTAAATATGATTTTCGGGTCATCGGCAGAGAGTGCTCCAGCACGATGCAGAAACGTAAGTGAAGTGGCAGCTGCGAGCTGCATATCTCGAGGACGGTCCCGAGCCATCAGTCCCACCAGCAGGTCAGGCACAGCTTTCCCACCATAGCTTTTGGTAGCTAGAATAGATGACACTCTTTCATTCCTGTTGAAAAAAATAAGAAAAAGACTGTACTTATTCATATGTTTAAATTACATTTTGAAGACACACAGTGTACTGACATACTGAAATAGAGCATTACATAACTGGTACAAAAGCATTACATAATTGGTACAAACAAACTCACATGGAAAAATAAACCAAAAGGTACGAGCACAGTTGAACCTTGTAATTTTCAGAAGTTAGGTTCCTGGAGGTTCCATGAATAATGAAAACTTGGGTATTAGAAAATGCTGCACTAGTAGTTTATAAAAATTTGACTGCAGCTCTTTAAATATTGCTAATAGGAGGGTACTACATATACAGCACTTTTTTTTCAGTGTTCCACATTTTCACTGGCTTTCAACTGATTGCCGGCAGGTGGAACATAATGAACAATGGCTCAATTTGAAGCCAACGAAAATGTGGAACACCGAAAAGAAGGTGCTGTATGTGTGTGTCCCTCCTGCATTGATATGAAAGAATGAGCACATTTTGAATGAAATTCTATGGTTATTTTTCAATTCAGGGGTCAGATATCAATCACAGGCCCATGGCCTGGTAGGCAAAGCTCTCGCTTCACACTCTGAGGGTCTGTGGTTCAATTCCCGGCAAGGGTGGAAACATTAAGCATGTTTCCTTACACCTGTTGTCCATGTTCACCCATTAGTTAAATGGGTACCTGGGTATTAGTCGACTGGTGTGGGTTGCATCCTGGGATAAAATTGTCCTAATTTGCCTGAAATGCTCTGCATAACCCTCTAAACAGCAAATATCCCCAGCTTATGTCTACATTAAAACTAAGAAATGAAGGAAGCTTCAAATTTACAGATAACTGGGACCAAAAAGTTAACTAGTGGTCTATGTAATAAAAGATTTCCTAGCTACATGCACATGTACCATGTACCTAAGAGGTTAAAATCCTGCATTTAATACAAAGAATAAGAACTCTTCCACATACTTACTAAAACAACAAATAGCATTAACAAAACTAAACTATCCTGTAGCAGTTAAAAAAATTAAACGACTGATATTAGAAGTCCTTTAAAATTTCTTCTAGGTCTTTGTAAGCAACCCAGTGATCATAAAACCCTGGTGGAAGCAGCAAGCCCTAAGCCATAAGCGGAGAGAATTTAAAGAATACAGGCAGGCCCAGCTTTACAGCACTTTGCTTTACAACATTTTGCTAATGCAGCGGCTTTCAATTATACTCATTCTTCATTTATTCTGACTTCATACAATAAATATATTCACCACTCACTATAAGCTAAGAATGAAAATATTTTAAGGGAAGTAATGCGTGTACTGTATATCCATTTTTAAGGCCTAGCTCTATTGGTCACTTAATATATGATAGTGTAAACATGTTATCATGCATTTGAAAGTGAAAAAAGGCTGTTTCACTTTGCAGGAATTTTCACATTACAACAGCAGCCCGGAACCTAATCTGCTGTATAAGCGGGGCCCATCTGTAAGAAGACACAGTACAATGACCAGAACACTACACAAATAACCTGCACATTTCTAGAAAGAAACTTCTGATGATGTTTCTGTGCAACTTGGACCATTAACTAGTCACATACTGCAAAAAGAATTTATCGGTAAATATAAACGTGCACAGAGGGTTGTGAATCATACTTGTAACACATTGCAGCCAAGCAGTGTAAAGCAGGTAGCTGAACTCTGGACACAGGAGAACACAGCATGCAGGCCACTAGATCTGCTCCACCAGCATCCACCAACTGCTGCTGTTGTTCACATGTCTGCAAATTTGTGAAATAGGGTATTTTTTTAAAAGATAGAGATATATTATCCTCCATGGGAAAGTGAAAAGAATCCTTCTTCTGTAAGCCATGTGTATCATAAGAGGCAACTAAAATGCTGGAAGCAAGGGGCTAGTAACCCTTTCTGTATAAATTACTAAATTTAAAAGAAAAACTTTTATGTTTCTTTATAGGTCATCTTGCCTCAGTGGGAGACTGCTGGTACTTTAAGAACATAAGAAAGAAGGAACACTGCAGCAGGCCTACTGGCCCATGCGGGGCAAGTCCATGTCAACCCCCGGCTTAGATCGAAAAAAAGATATACGTATATTATTTTGGGTGCAAGTAAGATTTAGACCAGTCAATATGCAATATACATAGCTTGCAGCTTTTACATAATATGGCATGGCTTATAGCATCATTTTTTTTTTTATTTTTTTAATTCTATGATGGTTAGCATCTCTGTGATATCTGGGTCCTGATATGGTCAGTTAACCCTTTGAGGGTTTTCGTCGTACTAGTACGTCTTATGCGTAGGGGTTTTTGACGTACTAGTACTCATAAATTCTAGCGGCCTCAAATCTAGTGGGAGAAAGCTGGTAAGCCTTCATATGAAAGAATGGGTCTATGTGGTCAGTGTGCACAGTCTAAAAAAAAATCCTGCAGCACACAGTGCATAATGAGAAAAAAATAACTTTGACCATTTTTTTTTAATAAATCAGCGACTTTGCAGTGTATTGTCGTATGGTATTTATTGTTGTATTCTAGTTTTCTTGGTCTCATTTTATAGAATGGAAGACATATTACAGAAATTGAGATGATTTTGACTGGTTTTACAATGAAAGGTGCCTTGAAATTGAGCTCAAAGTAGCAGAAATGTTCGATTTTTACCAAACTTCAAAAGTAAACAAATCGTGCCAGTCGTGCAATACACGTCAACTGGTGAGTCTAATATTCTTTTACAAGTGCACCAATAATATTTATACCATTTTTTACACTAATGCAGTAGTCTGCATAACAGTAAATCTTATATTTTTTGTGAAAATAAAAATTCAAAGTGGAAAGCAAAAGAATATAAGAGGGGCCTTGAGACATGACTAATGACTAGAGGAAATGTCATTTTAGTGCCAGGAATGTCTATCTTGTTTATTCTGGACCCTATTCAGAAATTGGCATCTTTTGAAATTTGTGTGAAATTGGCAAAATTGCTAAATTCTGACCACTGTACTGGATAGTTGAATTTATAAATGGGTGGTTTCTTGCACCCATTCGATAGAAAAAATGGAGTTCTAGCGAAATATTCATGTTTTTTGTCGACTAGTACAGTGAAATTGGCCGAAAATGGGGCTCAAAGTGGGCAAAATCGCCGATGCGTAAACATCGCCGAGACCGCTAACTTTGCGAGAGCATAATTCCGTAAGTTTTCTATCAAATTTCAAACTTTTGGTGTCTTTATGATCGGGAAAAGATTCTCTATCTTTTCATAAGAGAAAATAATTTTTTTTTTTTTAAATTTGGCCGACCCTGAGAACGAGTTTCGGAGAGGGCCTGTCGACCCTCAAAGGGTTAAAGGAATTAAACAGGTTTCTAATTGCATAATACTATGCAATACACTTGCATGCAGAATAAGTCACAGGGGGATGGAAATCTTTAACTCTAGATCTTTCACACTTGTATATCATTAAGAGCTATGCAGTGTTGAAATACTAACAACAGATAGGAGAAATTCTCACACTTTGTGTCATGGGCCACTGGTGATATGCTCCTCCCTCACCTTAAAAAATTTCTCCTTCTACCTGTTGCTATTTGTTAAAATGATTCTAGGCACTAAACCCATGTGGGTCATTCAGAGCAAAACGTGGTGGAGGCTTAATCTTTTGTCTACTGGGCGCAAGACACACGCGCTTCCTATTTGTACTCAACCAAGCTAATATTGTAACATTTCATAGCTCCTGATGACACACGAGTGTGAAAGATCTAGAGCTAAAGATTTCCACTCCATGTGGCTTGTTCTACCCATAATACTACATTTGAACATGTACTGCTCTTTCCAGGGGTTTATAAATATCATACATTAGGCCATAAGGATGGCAAGACCAGGGAGGGAAAGGAATGGGGTAGGATAGAGCAGTGTAAAGATTATGAATAATCAGGTAGAAAGAGAGGCAAGAAAGGTCATTGGCCTGAACACTCTGGGTGAGTAATTTTTGTCACAGTGCAAATTTATACACAGTGCATGTGTATAAATATTAAAGAGTGTTACCTATAGCAAGGAGTCATAACAGAAGTAAAGAATGCCCAATTAAATATAAAAAATAATATAGGAGTGTGTCGGTGTTATTTAATAGCCCCATGGCTGTTTAATGCATAATATGGATGAGGGTCATGTGATGCAAAAAAAAAAAAGCACTATTTTTTTTTTTTTTTTTTTTTTGGCCAGTGTTAAATTCTCCAATACAAAGGCTTCGCTAGCTTGTAAATGCATTACATTTTCATACTACTGTACTGTATACTGAAAGGTAAGTGAAATATTTAGGGAAGATGTTTTTATGTTTTTATCAGAGAACACCCTAAACAATTAACAGGGAAATAGGATGTAACTGAATACTTACAAATAAATGAAGCTAATTCAAACTGACTCAAAATACTCATTATAATAAAAATGCCAAATGTATAATCATGATTTAAGGTCAATATTTCAAACCTAAATTCAACTTAACATATCATGCATCACAAAAAGCATAAGGTACACAAACCCTGGATACCTTGCAGGCATGAGCAAGGATGTTGGCAACACACTCTTGGTTGCTAGGTGGATGATAACCATGTTGTATGAGAGTGGTGAGCAGCTTGTGATCCCATGACGGTGGAGGAGGTGCGCAGCCCTGACGGTACACCGACCTCAGGCAGCAGAGGATCATCTGGGTGTAAGCGCTGGTGCCGCTTCCCCCAGCACATGTTTCAATTTCTAGTCCAGAAAATGTTATATTTAACACAAAGACAAAAAATTAAATAATGTTTTAGAAAGCCAAGATTGCGTACATAAAAAAAAAAAGTCCCAAAAAAGAAAATTTTTTAAAAAGAATCATCATCAGTTTTAAAACACCTGGAGGGGGTTTCGGGGGTCAACACCCCCACAGTCCAATCTGAGATCAGGCCAGCTATTCACAGTAGATATTCAGAAATGTACAGTTGTGAATTTCATTTTGTGAACAAACCTTCTTTGACATGCTTAATAATTCTGTGTTAGGTAAAAGTACAGATGCAACTACAGTAATGTGATATTTTATTGTGGCAACATTTTGCTCTCCAGGAGCTTTGTCAAGCCATAATGGCTTGACAAAGTTCCTGGAGAGCAAAACGTTGCTACAATAAAATGTCACATTAGTTGCATTTGTGTCCATTTACATAACAAATGAAACCGTACCAAAACAAAATTGGAGAAAATCGGGTAAAGAAGCACTGAAAATTACTTACGTTCCCAGAGAGCTGGCAACAATCCTGCCTGTACAAGAGATGATGCATGTTCTGGTAGACCCTTAGCTAGTGAATTCAGGACTGTTACAACTTCTGTCTTGAGCAAGATATCTAATTCTGATGAACGGAGGATCTGCAGAAGTCGAACCACCACTCCTTGCTCAATGATGGTTCCTTTCTCACGAACACTTCCAATCACAGCAAATTTTAGTTCACTGTAAAGAAGCCATGGATTAAGGAAATGTTCTTCCTCCACACAAAAAATATATTAAAAAATTACTGGCATTAAAAATTTATGAACAGAAAATCACATAAAAGCCCAAACTAAAAAATACATCTCTAATGGTATAATACCTATGATATCTATACCTTAATACTCCAGTCCATTTCAAGGAAAATTGATACAATTTTGTGTCTGCTATTGACTAAAATATTACAAATACCAAATACAAGTACACTTAAACCTGCTTTAATCTTACCTAACTGCCTGGAAGCATTTATGTGAGTCATTGGAATACAACTGATCGATGTAAGCTCTACTGTGTTCCACATCCTGCAAAATAAAATAAAATTAAAATTATTTGTCTGTAAATACACACATATTCTCATGCGAGTGGAAAAATATACAGTGGAAACCCAATGTTTGAACTTATTTGGTTCTTAGGTGGTGTTCAAACTGAGAAGTTTGATGTCCAAAACAGTATATCCCCAGGCTTTAATTATCAGTCTCACACACTGGAGGATGTTGAACTGACTCATCCATAAGTCTCAGAGTTAGGCCATTGTCAGGAGTCACTTCAAAGCACTTCTGAAACGGTTTTCCTGTAAAGTTTTTTTTTTTTTAAACTGAATTGTAAATAAGCCAGTGTGTTCACACGCCAGAAAAACATTCAAAGACTGGGTCTATTTTTTCTGAACAAAACTGTTCAAACTCAGGTTTGTTTGAGGTCCAGTGCATTTAAACACCAGAGTTCTACTGTAGAGTAAAAGGACAAAAATTATGTAGCCACAACCTCCCTCTCCCTTGCAAACAATGCTCCAAAAATACATGAAATGGATGACTAGCCTAGCCCATGAAATGGTTGAAACCAGGATGAACCACATAGATGAAACCAGCTTGATCATGAAAGTCATTCAAAAAACTTTTATGAACATGAAATCATATTTAAACTCATATTTAAACATGACAAATCCTTTCCCATACCACTCCCTTAATTTCAATGTCCAAATCATTTTACTAATTCTTCAATGTGAAGTTGCTTGCAAACATCTTAATCTAAATGTAATCCATCTTTTACTTTAGCGCAAAAGGAACAAGAGCACTTTCTGCCTCATCTGATTAGAGAATCATAATTCATATCCTAGTTCCCACAAAGCTTACTAAACTATGGAAAATAACTTTCTTCATCTGCAGAAGCAACTACTGAAGTCGAAGAATGAGACACTTGTGCAACATTACGTAATCTTTACTGAAGAAATATTTCACCAGCCAATGGCGTCTTCAGACCAATACATAGAAGAACAGAAAAAGATGAGGATTGAAGAAGCCACTGGCTGGCAAAACATTTCTTCAGTAAAGTTGCACAAGAGTTTCTTTCTCCAACTTGTGGGTTTTCAAAACCATTTTCATCAAATTACTGAAGTTGTACAGTTAGAGAACTTATATCTGCAGAATCATGGGGTAGCATCTCGGCAAGACTATGTACCATAAAAAAGGCGACAAAAAACATGAGTGTATCAAATAAAAACTGCATCTGTTTTGGCATTCTTGTCCCTAATTAATCAAGAGAAAACTTGAAAAATAAACCAGAGGTTGATCTGCTCTTGATTTTGTTTCACTTGTGCCAAAACTAATAAGTTAAGAAGAGTCAGTAAGAAAGACACTATGTTGCTGAGAACACCTTTCTTTTGTTTCATCAAGGACTGGGTTTTACTGGCAAACAAAAACACACAAATACCTACATTGCAAGGGAGCACCCTGGGGTAAGGCTCGGAATAGGGTAAATGCGAAGCAAGAAGGTCACAGATGAGGTAGAGGGCAAACAATGATCATATCAGATGCCAATTTGAGGAAGCAGAGACCAAGTCATGGTAACATTTTTATTATACGAATCACTTACAATGGTGTGAGTGATGGAGTCTTACTAGCATGTAAATTCTGTTTTGTTCATTGATATCAGCTAAATATATTGAGACTGCTTCAAGAATTCTGCATGCTTCTCCAGTTCCTGATGTGAACAATGAATGCATTCTGTATGTGTATTTATTTGGCAGCAGGGTTATGATATCAATATCGAACACAGTTACAAAAAGGGGAAAGGGGTGTTTTGGCATTTCTGAAACTCTGGCTTTGATGATTTTACCTAACTAGGATACCGTGATCAAGCTACACTAACTACCCAGCCATGCCCCCTCAGCTTCAGCAAGCAATGTTTCGGTATTACCTACTTTGTCTCTCCTGACCTCTCCTCACTATATGTTTCCAGATCTCTTTGTATTCAATAAGCAGTCTTAGGCTGTTAGGAAGTTGCTGGATTTCAAATTCCCAGTCAAAAAATTCAAATGAATTTGGCAAAAAGTAAAATTCCAAAAATCTTTAAGCATGGAGCCTACACCTGCTCAAACACATGCAGAAATTTGGAAGGGTCATAAATTTTGCAACCAGATTAGCACCAAAAGCGAGAGAAATACACTCTGAGGAAAGTTCAAAGGAAATGAACCTGACAATCTTGGCAGAGAAAAGGACTAGGATAAACATGGTTATGAAATACAAAAATCTTATAAGAAACTGATAAGGCAGTAAGTGACATTCTGTTTGAATAAGAAGACCTAGATCATGAAAACACTGGTGGAAACTGAAGACACAGATGAGCTGAAGGGATGAAAGAACTTATTTCATTAGTCTTGGGTAGTTTTAAAGAAAAATGACATCAGTAATATTGAATGAATTGATTTTGCAAATGAATAGCTGAGGCTGCATCATATTTATCTTATTTGGAGACATGCTGATGCAGCATAAAACAAGTAAGTTTATTTAGGTACAGGTACACATAAGTGCAATTATCATACAGAGCAACATGTGTAAATTACCTAGGATACCTCCCCCCCCCCCCAAAAAAAAAAAAAAAACAATAAATGTTAACCCCAACAGAGCACTGCCGAACATGCCATTTATTCACTTTTTCAACAAGCCTTTTACCATGGACATGCACGGTAATATTGAGGGGCTATTTTGTACGGCAAGTAAATTTAGACTTTTGAAAAGGATGAAGGAAGAGATGTGTGTCATCCAGAACAAGACTGAGTGATCATTCCATAGCATATTTTTGTTGAGTTATGATCAGCTTTAGGTGATCTGTTGTAGATCCCCATGAACATATACCATTGGTAAGGTAAGGATAAATTATAGTACAATAATAATCAAAATAAGCATTAAACCAGCATAGAATAGCACAGAGTGGATAATGTTTGAGGTCTGTACAGTACTGAGCATGGTAATCTAACTTATTTTGAAAGAATACCCACTTTTAGAAATTTCATTAAAGATACGCTAGATGTGAGCATTGAATTTTATTTTGCCATTAAGTTGTATTATAATTATTATAATTATGGGGGAGCACTCAACCCTTAGGACTATACAGCACATGTGGGGGGGGAAACGGAAGGTATTCAGGCTCAATTCAGGAAACTAGAGCACAGATCTAATGGCCTAGATCAAGAGCCCCTCACCAGTGTCAAGGAACCTCCCTTGAGGGGCATTAAGTTGTAGACCTAATTATTTTCCCCTCATATTGTCATCAATATATGTATTGTCATTATTTTCAACTGAATGTTTTTAGCTTTATTTCCAAACATTGTGTAGGTGGTGTTATCAAAACTGAGTATGACTTTGATGGTTAACACTCAAGTAGATATCTTTATGAGGTCATCATTAAAAGTGTAGGTAAGTTTATTTAGGTACAGGTACACATAAGTGTACCTGTACCTAAATAAACTTAGGTACAGTAACATATGCAAAATAAACAGTAAAAAATAGTGAAATTCCCAAGAGATTTCATGATCTCTCATATTATTATTATCATTGATAATGAGAGAGATCACGAAAGTGCTTGGAATTTCACTATTTTTCACAGTGGTTATTTTACATACTGTGATATCACCTGCTTACTGCAGGTAAATTACAGTACAAGCCAAGAAAATCAGACAAAGTAAATAAGTTCATTTAGGTACAGGTCCACGTAAGCACAATTATCATACATAGTAAAATATGGAAGAAATAACAATAACACATGTGATTGCAAATATGTAAAAATACCAGTGAAAATAGGAAATAAAACCAGAGCGCTTTCACATGTGTCTTCATGTGCTTACACATACGTCTTCAGATGTACGTGTAAGCACATGAAAGCACTCAAAATTTTATTTCCAATTTTCACTGTGGTATTTTTACATAGTAACATATACTCAATAGTAACTCACATGGAAGACAGAAACTTCAAGAAGATTAATTGATCTGTATATTTTGACCCCCCTTCTTCCAGGAGGAGGTCGAAATATACAGATCAATTAATCTTCCGAGTTTCTGTCTCCATGTGGGTTATTACTGAGCACTGACAAGTGTTCATTACACTTTAGTTATTCATAGTAATACATGTGAAAATTACCCAGGATAACCAAAAAAATCAAGACAGAGTGACTTATTTCCAAGTAAATGGTTTATAAAACCGACAAAGTGAAGAATGAGACATTGTGCAACATTTTGCAATCTTAACTAACAGTATTATTGAGGAGAAAGAAGTATGGATATAAGATGACATAAATTATGTCATCTGCAAACACGACTAGTTTAAGCTGCTGGGAGACACTAGTGTTCACCTCGACACAACCAGGCCAGGCATCAACTTAACATTCAACTTGATCCACCGCACTTAAATGACATTAAAAATCCCATAGGGTAGCAGAAATTTACCATATATGTGGGTAAAACTTCCATAATAAGGTGTAAATGCAGCAGTTTGCAGACCGGCCCGTGTGGCTCCACTGACAGCTGTGTTTTGATGCATCTGCTGATAATAATATATCAACTTTATATTTCATTTATACTTCAAATCCATCATTAAATCTAACATATCACATTATAAACACTTACAGAAACGTTGTATTATCAGTTATGTTCATTTTTAATTATCAAGTTAATCTAGGAGTGATAATAAATACCAAATGCAATATACAATTTTTTTTTGCACTGACTTTCTTATGTAAATTCTAGAAGGTTTATTAATATATATTATTATTATTATTGAGCAAGTTAAGCACTAAACCCGAAAGTTGTAAAGCAATGTTTGTCTTTAAAAAATAACTTACAATACACATGCTTTTGTAGAAAATAAAATTATGTAATATTGTAATATTGATTGAGGAGCGTTAAACCCGTAGGGGTAATGCAGTTTCTGGGAGGAAGAGTAAAAGGCAATCAGATTTGATCCAAGGAAGTAGAGAGTTACTCCAATTCCCTGGAACAAGAGCCCCTCGAAAGTCTAGGCATCTCCCTTGGAGAAAGGCAACTGAAATTGCAGTAAAAATTACTATTTTGCAAACATGGTTCTGTCATTTGTCATTATTAATCATCATCCCAGGGAAGGTCGGGTCCACTTTTTTGGATGCCAACACTAGTGTTTCCAGTGTACACTAGGCTAGGATATGTTAGGCTAGGCTAGGCATCTTCACTACCTCCAGCCTTCTCCTTGTTGCAACATTCACCACCCATTATTTTTCCATTATTTCCACAGAACTCAATGGAGTCCCTTAATTCAGTATTATTATATTCATGAGGAAGTGCTAAACCCCTAGGATTATACAGTGCCTGTGGGTGGGATGGATTATTATAATAAAAAAAAAGCACTAAACCACAAGGGCCATACAGCACTGCAGGGGGGGATGGAAGGTATTCAGGCTTAATTCAGGGAACCGGAGCACAGATCCAATTCCCTAGATCAAGAGCCCCTCACCAGCATCAAGGACCCTCCCTTGAGGGGCCCTTTATTCAATACGTATTTACCATTTTGTTACTAGCGCAGAACAAGGGCTGATACATTTATGGGAAAGCTAAACCCATAGGGGTCATACAGCACCTGAGGAATAATGGGAGGTAATCAGGATTAATTTGAGGAAATGGAGGGTAGCTCTAAATCTGTGAATCAAGAGCACCACCCTAGAAAGGTCACATCTTTAATAAGTAGAATTAATTTGCCTGAAATACATTTCCATATTAGTTTTTTTTTTTTGTACCTAACACTATTTTATTACATGTAAATTACATTATCTTTGTACAGCATATTATTATTATCATAACTAAGTGTTAAACCCACAAGGGTCATACAGCACCTCTTTGTACAGAATAAGAGAAATAAAAATTTGAAGCTGAATGTCTCTTTACACCTGATACCTCTGTTCACTCAGCAGGAATTATTATTATTATAATCAAAAAGAAGCGCTAAACCACACTCAGCGGGAAGCTGTTACTTAGTTGTTTTAACTTCTAAGGTTTAAATAAGATTTTATAAGGACCCCATTGGAAATACATGTAAGTCACTTTGTCTGACTGCTATGGGTTACCCTAGGTAATTTATACTGTATGATAAATATAGTTGTGTACCTGTGCCTAAATAAACTTACCAGTACATACCTGGATGTTAGTTGATTGCTGAGGGTAGCATCCTGGGGAAGAGGAACAAAAGACCCCAGTGGAAATATGTTAGATATAATGGCTTTCTTGTGCTATCTTTCATTGCTAACCTTTCGGATTAATGTCACCATTAAATCTGTCGTCTTCTGAGAGCCAATCTTAGAGAAGTACCAAGGCAAATGTACAAGTCATGACTTTTATTGAGCACGAACTATGTCTAGTATGTGTGGTTCATATGAACACAGAGGAAGCACCTGGTGAACTAGGGTAATGAACACACGATCATCACAGAGCCTCGTACGCATTATTTTATTGCCTTCACTGGGAAATGCTAAATCTGTAGGGGTTGTACATCACTTGGAGGAATGAGAGTTAACCAGGTTCAAAGGAAGGAAAGGGAAATACACCCATTTCTTGTTTCAAGAGCCCCTCACCAGCATCAACACACCTCCCTTGAGAGAGGGTCATACAAAAAACTAAAGGTTACACTGCCACTACACATGATTACTGAACAAGCTTTGCCCCTCATTTATTTTAATCAAGGGGAAGCATTAAACTCATATAGGTTGTAAAGCTCTCCTGGGACATGGGAGGCATTCAAGCTTGATCTGTGGGAGTGAGTCAGGTATGGCCATCAGGTGACTCCCCACTAAACCTATAAAGCTCTGTCATTCAGGGTCTTCCCAATTATGCAAGCTTATGTGTCTGTTAGTAAGTTTATTTAGGCACAGGTAAACATAAGTACGATTATCATACAGTGTAAGTGTCTAGGATAACCCAAAAAAGTCAAAGTGACTTATTTCCATTAGGGTACATTTGGATTCACCAAGGTTCCAAGACTGAAATACTCTGAATAAAATTTAGCACTTATACTGTACTGTGTCTTTTCAAACTATACATTAGTTTCACTGTGAATTTTATTATTATAATCAAGGGGGAAGCGCTAAACCCGGAGGATTATACAGCGCCTGGGAGGGGGGATGTGGAAGGCATTCAGGCTTAATTCGGGGAACTGGAGCACAGATCCAATTCCCTAAATCAAGAGCCCCTCACCAACATCAAGGAACCTTCCTTGAGGGGTTTCACTGTGAAGAGACCTATTAATGTCATGCAGTGCTTAATAAACGGTAGGTAATTAGGTTTGATCCAGGGAAAGGGATGGGGAGGGTCAAATTTCTTAGATCAAGTCTTTCATTAGCATCAAATAACCCCCATCCCTTTGAAGTGTGTCTATCGAATTGTATTTAAGGGGGAAGCACTAAACCCACAGGAATCGTACAGCACCTGGGGAGCAGGAGACAATTAGATTCAGCCTAAGGAAGGGGAGGCCAAGATCCCCTCACCAATATCACAAACTCCCTTGAAGTGTGTGCCTGTCTATAAAATTACTTAAGTTTTATATTGGCTTTCTTCATTTTATTGACACCTGGTTCACCTACAACTGACAATAAAAGATATACGCACTTTATATTATAATAATTTTAAAGCTCTGAAGCAGTATGAGTGATGCAGTGTCTGGGAATGGCAGGCAATAAAGTTTGATCCCAGGAAGGAAGAAAAGGAAGGGTAGTAACATCACCTTGCATCAAGGAGACGATCACCATTGATGATTATTATTATAATCAAAAAGAAGCGCTAAGCCACAAGGGCTATACAGCGCTGCTCACCATTGATGAGCACCTCCCCTTGAGAGAAATTGATGTTTGTGTGACTGCAATTTAGGTAAATATTTATAGTGGGTTTCCTCTTGTTCAAATAAGGCTTTTTGATCTGTAATTTTTATTAGTTACACTGCATTGTGCAGCAACCCAGATCCATGTGAAATTTTATAAGGTGCTATGGGTTACAAACACACACTAAGTTCACTGTATACCCATAAAAGGTCATACAGTAAACAAATACTATTGGTAATGGCATATTAATAAGATACCAATAATTTTCATTTTTTTGTAAATAGGTGATAATCTTTTGTGATATATCTATGCCATGTCAAAGGTGATCATCCTTGTGAAAATTCATCGTTTTCATAATCATTAGGAAGTGTTAGACAGTTTTATCTGTGACCTACATATCTTTTCTCATTCTTGTGACCAGACCTCCCTGTTAAATACTCTCTCAACAAGGCTATTGCTGTTGGTAGTATGTCAGCCATCATGTTCATCACAGCCAATTATTATTATTATAATCAAAGGGGAAGCGCTAAACCCGGAGGATTATACAGCGCCTGGGGGGGGGATGTGGAAGGCATTCAGGCTTAATTTGGGGAACTGGAGCACAGATCCAATTCCCTAAATCAAGAGCCCCTCACCAACATCAAGCCAAGTTGATCTGGCAAACTGCAGAGGTAGTGATCATCATACAGAATCAAGAAAAAAAAACAGGTAATCAAATTTGATTAAAGGGAAAGGTAGCTCCATTTCCTTGGATCAAGACCCTTTTAGTATCAAAGAACTTCCCCAGATGGGGATAAGCTTACGTGTCTTGGCTGCTAGTGCTTAGTCATGAACTATCTTTTAGGGGTGTAGGACACTGGGTGTTTTGGCCAGTATTTCCTTTAGATTTCATCTGTATTCACCAGGAAAAAAAATTATTACTATTGTCATACAACAAACCTTAATGAAGGAATTAAAACAATTTCTATAAAATGTAAATATATTTCTCATTAAATATTTCTGTACATCTGAGATTAACAACAATACTGGAAAAGATTAAACCTCCCTGGGCTTGAAGCTTCTCCACAGGTATTGAAGAATCTTGTGTAGATGCTGCCTTGCTCTGATAGCTAACGTACTAATGTTTCATACTGTTTTAGTTGGATACTTCAAAATAATAATAATAATACTGCAATAATAATAATAATAATAATAATAATAATAATAATCATTAGTTTGGAGTGACATCTAAACTGTCGTATCTAGGTGCCTCCGCAAAGACAGTGATTATGTATGAGTGATGGTGAAAGTGTTGAATGATAATGAAAGTTTTTTTCTTTCTTTTTGGGTCACCCTGCCTCAGTGGGAAATGGCTGACGTGTTAAAAAAAATAATAATAATACATACCCAAACTAAGCACTAAACTTCAATATACAATATCCAACAATGCCTAACTACATTTCTTCTGTGGAATATTAAGAGGCACACGAGTTTTCCTGTCTCCTAACATCATGTTTATTTTCCCCCTGTCATCTACCTTGTCCATAATCATTATCACACTTGCTTTGTCTGTTTCCTAAGGCGAAGTCTAGGATCTTTCCTTAATTCATGGTATAACTTAACAATTGTCCTCAAAGATTTAAGTTATACCACGAATTAAGGGAAGATCCTAGACTTCACCTTACGAAACAGACAAAGCAAATGGGATAGTAATTATGAACAAGGTAGATTATAGGGTAAAAATGAACATGTTATCAGAAGATGGGCGAACTTATGTCCCCCCATGTAAAAAAGTTAAAAGTATGGGAAGTTCAGTTTCACGACATAATTAGGTTTTTAAATAGTGGTTTGGAAATAGTCACCCACGTGTGGAGTAAGTTGCTAAGTGGCATCACTTATGCAAAACAGTACAATGGAATGTTTGAAGACACTGCACAAATACACAAGTGAGAATGGTCGAGTATTAAATAGGAGCTGCCACCAATGACCCAGTAAGCCTTCTGCTTCTTATTTTACTTTCATAATCTTTCATTCTGATTACTGTAGGGTTTCAGCCTGACCATCTGATATTCTGCCTTTATTCTTTAAAATTTTAATAACCCTCTCAGACTTTTCTCTTCCCTCCTACTCACTATTCCAACTCAAAAATTACTTCAAAAAACCTGTCTTGATTATACAGTAATTTGCCTTTATAACAAGTCTTGACAAAACTGATTAAGTTTTGTAACATTCCATTATTAGTCAAAGTAAGTTCACCAATTGAAGACAATTGAAATGTACAGAGAAGATTTAAAAACAGAGTTATCTTTCTCTCATTCATAAGTCTCAAATGAGGAATATATATTCTGAATTCAGAATATCTGAAATTTTGATTTCAAGATTATCTCTGAAATTTTTGTATCCAAGTAGCAAAAATCTTGTAAAAATACTTTTAGTGTCAAAATAGGTGTTATTATTCCTATAATTAGGATTATTCTACAATTTGCACTCCCACAGGCATGCTTCATGCTAAACAAGCTATATAATACACAGCATTACAATACCATGACCTAAAGGAATGCAAGTTCCCTGAGAGACTGTCAAGAGGTGTGGTGGTTTCATTAATTATCCTTAAATAATTCATTATGCCTAATGCTACATTTTTCTTTTTTATAACTCCCTCATGTGTCTATGCTTATCTTCCTAAAAACTCCTTATTCTGAAAAGCAATAACACTTCTTAAATCCTAAATCCTAGAGACCATTCAACATTATTTTCACACTGACAACAGGTGAACAAATGGATGATAGTAAGTACCTCTACTTTCTCGTGCATTTCTTGGTTCTGTAATATGCCTTATCCAATTCAGGCTCTGGTCTAAGACTGTGCAATGATGGATGATGATTCCTTCAACAAACAACATTAACAGTCACTAATAATCAGATTAAACAACCTCAGTGTGGCAGTACTGTACATGCAAGTTATGCAATCAAACTTCAATTTCACAATAAATTCACACAATATTTAATTTGAAAATAATTGGTGTTAATCACCAAAACTTCATAAAAATGACAAAGATATCCAACTGAAACAAAACATTACAAGGCTAGCAATCACAGAAGACAGTATCTACACAGCAAATTTGAAAAAGGCCCTAAAGATCTTTAGTAGGGCCAAATTTGACATAAATCTGCATTCTTATCCTGTGTAAACTGATTGCAACAATACAAATTGCAAAATTTTATGAAGCTATATTCCCATATATGAAAAATTATATACCTGTAGTACCTTAAAGAGAAGCTAAAATACACTACACATGCTGTAATTTTAAACGCTCCCAAGATTCAAGCTGAAATGGTTTTAAACCAACAGAATACATTACTTAATATTTTCTATGTAGAGAAGTACAAATACAGGTTTCCCTTGCTTTATGCCATTTGAAATTTCTATCAGAATTCCATATATGAAATATGCACGAACTATGGCTTAAGTATAATAACGATTTTTATGTGGAATTAAATGTTCATGGCTGAATGAGCTTAGTACAGCTGCTATGAGCCTGAAACATCTACAACATAAAAAGTAGGATACCTGAATATACAGTATTTACCTTGTAATATTAAACCCTGTATAGTATACAAAAAATGCTACAAAACATTTACTGTCTTCTAATCTGTGTACAGTACCAATATGTATGTGTGTGTGTGTGTGTGTGTGTGTGTTTGGGATGAGTATGTGGTGTGCTTTTATTTATATATGTGAACAAGGTAACATTTTGTAAAGGGATTCAGGGAAATCAGTTATTGGGACATGAGTCCTGGAGGTGGGAAATACAGTGTCTGCACACTGAAGGAGGGATGGGGATATTTGCAGTTTGGAGGGGTATCTGAACTATAGTGTTGGCAAGTCTCTGACAAGACAGTGATGAAGTGAATGATGATGAATGTTGCTTTTTCAGATCATCCTGCCTCAGTGGGAGACAGTCAGTGTATATGTATGCACACACACACACACACACATACAAATATAAATGTACACTTTAAACTGATTGGTTGTAGTATAGCCTAATTAAAATGAGTCATCTTTAATTAAAAGCAATGCAGCCACCCATCCTCCTAAAACAAAATATCATGAAAAAACTTACCAAACAAATATGCAAAAATTCAGTTTCGCTAATGAAGATAGTGATGGTTTCCAGACGTTACGCACTCTTAACCATTTCAAGCGTCTGTTAAGCCGCTGTTACATTGAAATAACATACTCCCTTGTCATTAAGATCAGAGATTTTGTTCAAAGAAAAATAAAAGTTTGAAAACGAATGGATGCATAAAGGTGCTGACATTGCTTTTATGTTCATTAAACTGTTTAAAAGTATAAATTTCTTAGGAAGACAGGCTGAATATAGTCAATACACTTGTTACAAAAAAACTCCCAGCAACTGCTGGGACAAAGTTCTTAGCTGCTTAGGGTTTGGAACAGTACCAAACAGGTGTGGAACAAGTATTTTGACCCTGATCATCAATTATGCTTTATGGCGCTTACAAATTATCAAGCATCAGTATGCCTCAGTGTTGCTTAACATAAAATTAGCTGCAAAACCCACAGAATTAAATTTTGCATACTGTAGGCTTATGAGAAAGTTGAAACAGTACTGTACCCTTATCAAAGTGTCAGGTATAGCGGGCATAGAGATAGGAAAACTTAGCTTACTAAGCACACTAGGGAATAGGAAAGGTCAAGCTGATTAACAATAAATTTATGACAGAGCAAGGAGAGTGAAGGATGTATTTATAAATATTATAGAAAGATTATCTCAAAAATATTTAGCAAAATAGTAGTTAAATGTGGCATTCTTGGTCTTGGTAAAATCTTTTGATAGCGCATGACTTAAAAAAAAAAAGTGAAACTTTAAAATTACAATAATTTGTAAAATTTATTTAAGTTGAAAACATTAAAAATGTTCAAAGCAAATTCCAAAATGTGCTAACAGTCATGGAAGACTGAATGAGTGTTTTAAATATGTTAGCTGAAGAGAAGGCTGTGTTGTCCCCATAACTTAATAAATAATTATAATTTAGTGGAAGCAGTGAGGGAATAAAATATGAATGGGCATGGTGAGAGCCACTATAGTCCCTGCTACCTAATTCTTGGCTAACAACTACAAAAATTTTAAAGAAGGAGTTTGATGAATTAAGCAAGTGGGATACACAACAGATAATGGAATTTCAAAAAATGCTGCAGTGGGTAACAATGCAAATAGGCCACACAAAGATATCATTTTTGGTGATGGCATAGCAAGAGCAGCAGATAGTGAAAAAGACCTTGGGATGATTATGAATAACTTTTTTTTTTTCAATATACCGGCCATCTCTCACCGGAAAATAATTTAGAGTGAGAACTCAATGTTTCACTATTTTATAATAACTTTCAAATATATGGATAGCAGAATACTATTTTAAATCAAAATGGGAATATGCAGCTGTAGTAATATGTAGTCTGAACATAAAAAAAAAATTTCACTGGAGAGCAGAAAAGCAGATATAATACCTACATGGAAATTTATAAAAGAATGTGGGAAAACAAGGACAAGTGTTTCTTTGTGCTATCTATAGGAAGAGGAAGTCCTAACTTTAAACCCTTTCACTGTCCACACCACCAAAATTAATATTGCTCCCAGTGTCCACTTTTTTTTTTTAAATAATTCTTTTGAAATGGAATTATTATTATAATCAAAAAGAAGTGCTAAGCCACAAGGACTATACAGCTTTTGAAATGGAAGAAAATCTTTTTTTCTGAAGGTAATGACACCAAAAGTATGAAATTTGATGGAAAACTTACAAAATTATGCTGGCACAAAGTTAGAGGTCTGGGCGCAATTTATGCAGTGGTGATTTTGCCAGGCGAGTCCTATTTTATGGAGTTCTATTGCTCTTTTGACCAAATTCTTAGCTATTTTGCTAGTATGCCTTCTGTTCTATTGTTTGAGCACAAGAAACTGTCTATCAACTATTATAACTACCCTATAAGTACACAGAATTCAGTAAATGACAATTTTACACAATTCAAAAAAAATACCAATTTAAAAATAGTGAAAAATAAACAATGTAGACATTCTTGGCACTAAAACATTTCCTCTGTTCAGTAATCACATTCCCAGGCCTTTCCTATATTACACTTGCCTTTCATCTTGAATTCTGAATCAAACAAAATAAAAGGATTTCCTCTATTTCCTGGATTATAAAATATACCAGGAATGATTGAACATTATTTACGGTATCCCAATACTTGAATCAAACCTATTAAAAATCCATAAAACAAAATTGGCGTGTAGAGGGGCTTTACCTGTCCATTTAATACAGTACTGGCAAAAAATAATTCCACTACTTGAGCCCAATTTCAAGCTACTTTCAGTCCTTAAAAGCAAAATGATCTCTATTTTAATAGAATATTTTCCATTCTATCAAATGATACCAAGAAACAGCAAAGAAACCATCCTAGAAAATAACCTGAAGTCGCTATTTTAAACGTAACATGTGGTCGGAGTTCTGTTTTTTCCATGTACCGGGTAGGGTAGGACTTTTTTTTTATACCGTGTACACTCACTGAGCAGACCAAAATTTTCCACTCGGCTTATTCAAGTGAGCTGAGCGCATGACACAGAACTAAGTGAGGGACCCCTGGCTTCAATGATGTAGATCTACGTGACACAAGAACGTAAGAAAAAAGGAACACTGCAGCAGGCCTATTGGTTCATGTAAGGCAGGCCCAAGTTCACCCACTGGCTTTAGCCACTGACCAAACCTAGTCAGGTCAGGTCACTGAAAGGGTTAAACTATGTAATAAAATGCAGAAGATATAATAAAAAACAGTTCACAACTAGTGTGGGATAGAAAGCTAGAAAGAAATGAACAAAAAATTACCAACACTTATGAGAATTAAAAAATATAATAATAAAGAGATGACAGCATACAAGCATAAGCTCTATTCCTAAAACTAGAAATAGGTAATTGCATGCACAAGCACACGAATGTGTATACACAGTAGGTATGCCTTCCATTACAATAATTTTCTTATGCTATCAATTACTGTTCTATCATTGTAAGGCTAAAACCTTATTGACTTACACTGTTATGATCTGAATAAAGAAGTACATTTCTGTATTCATGATAAGCTAAATAACAAGATAGGTTATAGTCATACTGCTACAGCAATACTAAAAGAAAAATTTGAATTGCCCCTTTGTAAGCGAACCTGCAAAAAAGGGTGAAAATTAGTTTTATGTAATATAGTGTTCAAAAATTAGTTGCAACCCATGGAAAATACTCGTTTATTGCTAAATAAAAAGTGTTGAATGTGTTGGTTATTAAGGTTTTCACACAAATGTACATGATAAATCACATTACTGAACATTTTAGTATATCAGTGGTATTCATTACCGACAAGTTCATTAATTAGATACATAAACAACATCTGGTTATCTTTATTTGTAGGCATTTCACTGTCCAGTGACTATCAATACATTACATGGGCATAAAATGAAGACATTAGAAACATACAGCAGTCGGAAGAAGCCTGAGGCTCAGGGACTGATTACCTCATCTTCTACTGACTACTGTGTATATATTACTTATGTCTTCATTTTATGACCATATAATATACTGATAAAGCCATTAGATGATGAAATATCTACAAGTCAAGATACCCAGATGTTTCACACGAGTCTTACTCATCAACATTTGTTTTAACATCTCCTTTCAATCTGCTATCTACTGTACAATGAATGTTGCCCTGTAGCTCATCCAGTATATGAATGTGATTTGAATACAAGTGTGTTAAAAAACTCCACAATGTAATGTGAACACCATTCTCATATTAAATGATCACCGAAACACTAAAAAAAACAATGGGTTACAATAAGAGATTCTCCATGGGTCGAGTTTCTTTTGGAACACCCTGTATAATAGTATATCCTAAATTCTTAAACACTGTATACAGTATACTAAAATACTGTGCTAACCCTTTAATTTTTATCTGGCATAAAATAATGGTGGATCATAAAATTACCCATGGATGTTCATGCCGAACGAGGTTTAACCTTTTCCTAGTAATAGAGTAACTATTTATATATATTATAAAATCCAGAGTTGACGACATAGACAAGGACATGAAACTGTAAAAAAATTAAACGTAATATTATCACATGTGTGAGGCAACAGGCTTTTGAAGGTCTAATACACGAACTCTATGCTTTCACAACTAATTTAAAAGGAGCCCGATTTGTTTACATGAAATAACCACGTGCAATTACTGTATCACAATAATAAAGCACCTGGAAATATTTTTAGGTTGTTGCCCACAAACTCATCTTTCTATAAAAAAATATTTACATTCTAAAAGCTTGTAAGAAATTTTTTTATATACGTATTAGGTAGACTGGATCACATTAGTTTTCATAATAGAGTAACATTTTATCACTCTCATAACCTCACATATCACACGTATATTTGTTCCAATCACTACTGCAATGCTGCATTTGAAATTCATCAAATAAATCTGACTGTGGTGTTTATTTTCACAAACAAGAGCTGACTAGACTGCATATGAAGTATATTATTAATCTGACCAATGTACAGTAAAACCCCAGCATTTTGCATCAGTAGATTGTACAAGTTACTAATATAGTAGACAAAAATAGGAGAGAAGTATTTCACTCCAGTAACATGCAATCTCTATGCACAAATACTAGTGATGGACAAATAAATTTGCCAAAACTGAACTTTTATTATACAGTGCCTTAGAACACTTTGTGCAAGTAAAGTTTATATTTTTATACTTACAAAGACTAATTTTTAAGACATGTATACCATTGTATGTACTATGTAGTCCTGGATGCATAAGGATACTCTACTGCACCCTACAATAGGATAGTGGAAGGCAAATGAAACCTGGAAGCAATGTGAGACAAGCTGGCATAATCTAGCAATATCAAGTATGTATTAAAGGACAGATGAATGAAACCAAGACATTTGTCACTATGCCTTGATGATGCACACCATAATTTACAGCTATCTAAATATGTGCACTATCCTTGTATACATAAATTTATAAGCAATGCCTTGATTTTTCAGTCATGTGTATCACAACCTCACATGTAATTATGCTTATCAGCATTGAACATTAGCTAGTATATTTCAACTTGATATCAATAGGTATTAAAAAGCCTTAAAGTATCATCCAAATAAAAAATTAAATGCTTTTTAATATCCTGGGGTACTAAGCTTAATTTTACCAAATGTTTGTTGGACTGAAAACATGTTGAGGTGCAAGGAACAAAATGTTCATTACTGGGGTTTTACTGTCTTTCCTTCGGTGTGTTCTAAGAAAACTTCTGCCTCTTAATATTTTGTGGAAATCACATTCTAGGTGAATACATTCACATGTCTCTGCCAGATATTATTCTATCTGAAGGCACACTGCACATCCTATGGAAATAATTCTATCACATTTTATGCATGCACTATTGCTATTTGCCCAACCAGATATCATCTGCTGCTGTACAGTTTGCCGTCAGGGTAGGCATGTGAAGTGTTCTTAACCGCTCAACAGTCTTGTTCGTCGTTGTGCCAAGTGTTATGAACCTTTCCTGAACCAATCCCTTCCCATCAATGTCACCATCACTATGACTTTTACTTGCAGAATCACCATCATTTGCATTGTCTCTAATTACACTATCCTTAATCAGATCATTGTCCCAACGTGGCAATGGGCTCTCATTTTTATTAGGATTCATCATATGGTGTTTAAAGAGTTCATACACACTCCAGGATATTGCAGTTCCTGGCATCTGGTACAGAATTCGAGCATGGATTCCTTTGAAGAATCCTGGAAATCCATTCATCAAGTAAATAGTCCGTAATGCACCCACAATTCCAATTACCCGAGACTGCTGCAGCTGAACTAGGGCAGAAGTTTCCTGCGTGTTGAGAACAGTTTTACACATATCCAATGGTGTTGTTAATGCTGCTGCCACAGCTCCAGCAACTGCTCCTGATACCATATGAGCTTTAGGATTGTACACCCTCTCAGGATTCATAACACTCTGGATTTTCTCATAAGTGACAATGTGAACTGCATGGAAGGGAAGATTCATAACCATCTGTGTTGTAAATGAGCGGTAGAATGCTTTCACACCCTCACTCCGGTAAAGTTTCCGCAAGCAATCAAAACATGAACTATATGGGCTGTTGTACATTTGCATCCTTTGCTTGATGACTGAAAAGAAAACCAGTGATAAAATTAAAGTGAGATTTCTTAGAGTGAATAGGAAAGATGTAGAGTTTAAATATGCATTTGGGAAGTATTATTAAAAATAATTTGAATATGTTTAAAAATAATAAGAAAAGACTGTTTCAACAATAATAATAATAAATAAAAATGATAATAAATAATAATAAAAATAATCATGGGCTTGGACATCCAACACAGGCTTGTATGAGCACAACACAACAGATAAGAGTAAGTGGAAAGTAGTTTTTATGACTTACCATGCTAATAGTGTGTTTGCAAGGTAATATTAATGAAGGGAATCATGGAAACTGATTAGACAAACTAGTCCTGGCAGTGCAAGTAGTGCCTTTACTGTCAGGTCAATTGAACTGTGATGTTGGCACACTTCTAGCATGACAGTGATTGAATGAGTGACAGCCAGTGTGTTTCCTCTTTCAGGTCACTGTCTCAATGGAAGACATCTAGTATGTTAAGTTAAAGAAATTTGAATTAGCAGTTGCTTGCTTACAGTGAGCTAGTAAAGTAGGAAATAGAACCTAAGCACTAAATTGGCAAATATTTTAACAACTAATAGCTTTGTAGTGTGTAGGGGCATACTTTTCAAACTGTTTCTATTAAACATGAAGGTGAAAAGGGAAATCATACCATCAGCAGGTACCATAACAGCATCATGAAAGAGTGTCGCTCCACAGCCAGCACCCGCTGTGGGAAAGAAATGTAAAACTTATCACCAAAAAATACACAACATACAGTATTACTATCGGATAAAATTTCACAAAAATTAACCATTCAATATTTTTTTTTTTTTTTACCTTCTTGGCCATTTCCCACCTTGATGAGACAGAGAGAGAGACGGACACACACACACACACTCTTGCTATCCTTTCACCACACAAACATCACAGTCCAAAGTTGACCCACAAATCATCAAATACCAAACCACTTTTGTAGTGCAGACTTTGTAATTCACACCTTACCCAACTGAATTTCAGCTACTTATTTTTCAATACCCTTTATAGATAACTCCATCACATGCTCACACAAAGAGGCATATCAAATCCCAGAATCCACCACTCTCCAGTCTAACTTCTTACATATATCTGGTGAATGTTAAAATCCCTATTCATCAACACCTGTCTCTCACATCTTCCCTAAGCTTCTAGGAAACAAACAACCAATATTTTTTTCACTTGGTCTTAAAATACCTAAGATTTATTTCATCTGTTCTTAGGATATCAAATTCAGGAGAAGGTACAATCAAACCCTTGCTTTTAATACAAAAATTAACCTCAGCCCTTTTGGACACTACTGTTAAGCAAAGGAAAGACTTCATCAACTAATCTCAAACACTACAGTGTCAGCTTTATCCATGCTTATATGAGCAGTGATCTCAGTCACTGCTCATATCAGTTAGGTTAGGTGATGACCCAGGAGCTGGCACATGAGTCAGGGGAGAGGGTATCTACTCAGATTCAACTGAGCTTTTATATTAAAATTAACAGTGGGTCATATTGCCCACTAATGTTTTCTTCTTATTCCTGGCAATAGCATATTAGTTAATGTACCACTCCATCCAAAACGAGTTCTTAAAGGCTACTGCGTAATAAGGCATCTAGATGCACAGTAAAAAAAAAAAGGAACGTGCATCACTAAAACACTCATGTTAGCAGCTTCTCCACTGTGTACATACTGTCTTTAATGCTTTGTATTCTAACTAAAGATACTTTTTTTTTTTTTTTTTTTTACCAAATGAACAGGAAGAAATAATATTGTTGGATACTGCCATTCCAGTAAACACCTCCAATGAACCAAACTCCCAAGAAGCTATTTTTAATATATGCACTATTTAACAGTAACTTTAAGGGAATCCCCAGAGATCTGTTAATTCAAAAATCTTGTCATCAACTGCGGCTATAGCCAAAACACTGACTGTACGCTGTGCTCTAAGTGGCACCCACCTCATGGTTCTTCAGTGTCATTTATTTTCTTCGGTCTGTGCCATATTCTTTTAATGGTTCTGCATAACCTTAACCTCTAGATAAAATACTATGTGCCACTGTAGAATTTGCTAAGTAAAGCAGATAGGTAGACAATGGTAAAAGTCGACAAGTGAGCATTAAGACACTGGTACTAGTGTCTTTATTCCCAAGCAAAGTAGATGCTATAAAGCCATACATCAACAGAGCACATTATCACTTGGAGTACATGTACAAAACATGTAACAATTATAGGTAAAAATGAGAGAGAATAGGCATGGCCCATCACAAATTTTTTATCAAAAGGACTTATGCAGTATTATTACAACTTACCATTGACAATATGGTTCTGAAATGAATTACTGGAGCCAAAGGTTGATTTAATTCCTTCATATGCTGAGAAGTAAAATGCATGGGCCGGACCAGCTCCAAGAATGACGGCATTTATACCTCCCATTGGTCTTAATAATCCTTCTGAGCTTACCATCTTCACCAAGCCCTCTCTAATGGATCGATATGCAGCTTCTGGTGATGGCGCTAAACTCTGCATCCGTGTCTGTAAGAAAGATTCGAATGGGAAAATTTCCTTTTTGGCAATTCATATACAGTCTAGGTAGCAGGTCTGAAAAACATGCCAGGGAAGAATTTGTTGTTTCACTTTTACTAGGGTCTACATACAACCAAAATTTATTTTGAAAGAAAAGGCTGTTTTTGATATTAAAAATGGCCTTGCAGGTTTTATTGCACTTCTATTATCCTGGTTTGAGACATTCAAGGTTTGCTGATTTATTTTTGTCTTATGTGGTTTAAGACACCTGCTGTCCTTGTTCACCCATCAGTATAAAATGGGTACCTGGGTATTAGTCAACTAGTGTGGGTCGCATCCTGGGACAAAACTGACCTAATTTGCCCGAAATGCTCTGCGTAACAAACAGTTTTCCATACAGTAGTATGTCATTGATGTCAGCTAGGCCTGTATACCATGTACACATACTTGTAGAAATAAAGATATTATTATTATTACTAGTACTTTCGTTTGCATGTAATACTTTTGTTTGTACTAACACTTGTTTGCACTAACACTTGTTTGCACTAACACTTGTTTGCACTAACACTTGTTTGCACTAACACTTGTTTGCACTAACACTTGTTTGCACTAACACTTGTTTGCACTAACACTTGTTTGCACTAACACTTGTTTGCACTAACACTTGTTTGCACTAACACTTGTTTGCACTAACACTTTTACATGTAATACTTTAGTACTAACACTGTTTACATTGTAATATTCTTATTTACACTAATACTTCATGTTCTGCATTTCAGAAGAAAAATGCTAAATTGCACTGCATACCGAGCGTTTCCACGCAAGAAAATACCACCGTAAAACATCAACACAACCGTGTACGCTTTTTGCTAGCATCTTCCACAACAACAATCTGAACACTCTGTGGTGTACATAGGTTGTATTCTCATTATCTTCATAACTGAGCACTAAACCTACAGGGGCCATAGCTTGTATACACTCCAGAATGTAAACCAACGATGTATTGCAAAATACAAACTTATGCATTGCATACTAGTGGCTTTCTGTTGTGTTTACCAGTGTTTTGTGATATGTAAACTATTTGATTAGTACAGCACGAGGAAATAAAAATTTATTGTCGGTATTGTAAAATGTGCAATAATGTAGTAGGTATTGTAAAATGTGCAATAATGTAGTAGGTATTGTAAAATGTGCAATAATGTAGTAGGTATTGTAAAATGTGCAATAATGTAGTAGGTATTGTAAAATGTGCAATAATGTAGTAGGTATTGTAAAATGTGCAATAATGTAGTAGGTATTGTAAAATGTGCAATAATGTAGTAGGTATTGTAAAATGTGCAATAATGTAGTAGGTATTGTAAAATGTGCAATAATGAAGTAGGTATTGTAAAATGTGCAATAATGAAGTAGGTATTGTAAAATGTGCAATAATGAAGTAGGTATTGTAAAATGTGCAATAATGTAGTAGGTATTGTAAAATGTGCAATAATGTAGTAGGTATTGTAAAATGTGCAATAATGTAGTAGGTATTGTAAAATGTGCAATAATGAAGTAGGTATTGTAAAATGTGCAATAATGTAGTAGGTATTGTAAAATGTGCAATAATGTAGTAGGTATTGTAAAATGTGCAATAATGTAGTAGGTATTGTAAAATGTGCAATAATGTAGTAGGTATTGTAAAATGTGCAATAATGTAGTAGGTATTGTAAAATGTGCAATAATGTAGTAGGTATTGTAAAATGTGCAATAATGTAGTAGGTATTGTAAAATGTGCAATAATGCAGTAGGTATTGTAAAATGTGCAATAATGCAGTAGGTATTGTAAAATGTGCAATAATGAAGTAGGTATTGTAAAATGTGCAATAATGTAGTAGGTATTGTAAAATGTGCAATAATGTAGTAGGTATTGTAAAATGTGCAATAATGTAGTAGGTATTGTAAAATGTGCAATAATGTAGTAGGTATTGTAAAATGTGCAATAATGTAGTAGGTATTGTAAAATGTGCAATAATGTAGTAGGTATTGTAAAATGTGCAATAATGTAGTAGGTATTGTAAAATGTGCAATAATGTAGTAGGTATTGTAAAATGTGCAATAATGTAGTAGGTATTGTAAAATGTGCAATAATGTAGTAGGTATTGTAAAATGTGCAATAATGTAGTAGGTATTGTAAAATGTGCAATAATGTAGTAGGTATTGTAAAATGTGCAATAATGTAGTAGGTATTGTAAAATGTGCAATAATGAAGTAGGTGTTGTAAAATGTGCAATAATGTAGTAGGTATTGTAAAATGTGCAATAATGAAGTAGGTGTTGTAAAATGTGCAATAATGTAGTAGGTATTGTAAAATGTGCAATAATGTAGTAGGTATTGTAAAATGTGCAATAATGTAGTAGGTATTGTAAAATGTCATATGTATTGTAAATGTGAAATAATGCAGAATGTATTGCAAAATTTGAATACAGTATGCACTGCAACGTGAAATGCAGTATGCATTGCAACATGTGAAATAATGCAGTATGCACTGCAACATGTGAAATAATGCACTATGCATTGCAACATGTGAAATAATGCAGTATGCATTGCAACATGTGAAATAATGCACTATGCATTGCAACATGTGAAATAATGCAGTATGCATTGCAACATGTGAAATAATGCAGTATGCACTACATGTGAAATAATGCACTATGCATTGCAACATGTGAAATAATGCACTATGCATTGCAACATGTGAAATAATGCAGTATGCACTACATGTGAAATAATGCACTATGCATTGCAACATGTGAAATAATGCAGTATGCATTGCAACATGTGAAATAATGCAGTATGCACTACAACGTGAAATAATGCACTATGCATTGCAACATGTGAAATAATGCAGTATGCATTGCAACATGTGAAATAATGCACTATGCATTGCAACATGTGAAATAATGCAGTATGCATTGCAACATGTGAAATAATGCAGTATGCACTACATGTGAAATAATGCACTATGCATTGCAACATGTGAAATAATGCACTATGCATTGCAACATGTGAAATAATGCAGTATGCACATGTGAAATAATGCACTATGCATTGCAACATGTGAAATAATGCAGTATGCATTGCAACATGTGAAATAATGCAGTATGCACTACAACATGTGAAATAATGCACTATGCATTGCAATATGTGAAATAATGCAGTATGCATTACATGTGAAATAATGCAGTATGCATTGCAACATGTGAAATAATGCAGTATGCACTACAACATGTGAAATAATGCACTATGCATTGCAATATGTGAAATAATGCAGTATGCATTACAACATGTGAAATAATGCAGTATGCATTGCAACATGTGAAATAATGCAGTATGCACTACATGTGAAATAATGCACTATGCATTGCAACATGTGAAATAATGCAGTATGCACTACAACATGTGAAATAATGCAGTATGCACTACATGTGAAATAATGCACTATGCACTACAACATGTGAAATAATGCAGTATGCACTACAACATGTGAAATAATGCAGTATGCACTGCAACATGTGAAATAATGCAGCATGCACTACAACATGTGAAATAATGCAGTATGCACTACAACATGTGAAATAATGCAGTATGCACTACAACATGTGAAATAATGCAGCATGCACTACAACATGTGAAATAATGCAGTATGCACTACAACATGTGAAATAATGCACTATGCACTACAACATGTGAAATAATGCAGTATGCATTGCAACATGTGAAATAATGCACTATGCACTACAACATGTGAAATAATGCACTATGCACTACAACATGTGAAATAATGCAGTATGCACTACATGTGAAATAATATAGTATGCACTACAACATGTGAAATAATGCAGTATGCACTACAACATGTGAAATAATGCAGTATGCACTACAACATGTGAAATAATGCAGTATGCACTACAACATGTGAAATAATGCAGTATGCACTACATGTGAAATAATGCAGCATGCACTACAACATGTGAAATAATGCAGTATGCACTACAACATGTGAAATAATGCAGTATGCACTACATGTGAAAAAATGCAGTATGCACTACAACATGTGAAATAATGCAGTATGCACTACATGTGAAATAATGCAGTATGCACTACAACATGTGAAATAATGCAGTATGCACTACAACATGTGAAATAATGCAGTATGCACTACAACATGTGAAATAATTCAGTATGCACTACAACATGTGAAATAATGCAATATGCACTACAACATGTGAAATAATGCAGTATGCACTACAACATGTGAAATAATGCAGTATGCACTACAACATGTGAAAAAATGCAGTATGCACTACAACATGTGAAATAATGCAGTATGCACTACATGTGAAAAAATGCAGTATGCACTACAACATGTGAAAAAATGCAGTATGCACTACAACATGTGAAAAAATGCAGTATGTATTGTAAAATAAGGCAAGAGTTCTGCCTGGTAATTGTTAAACGACAGAATATAAAAGATTATTATTTTTTTTGACTTATTTTATAGTAAATATTTATTTATTATTATCAAGCAACGAGTAAACTGGAATTCCCAAACTTAATATATCCATTTTGTCCCATTTTTTGACTAATTCTGCTAGCACTGTTTAATTACCACCAGTGTTACATAAATGTGTGAATATTAAATGCAATGTCATGGTGATAATGATAATGGATGGCGATAGATAACTGTTCATACGGTGGATAGATAGAGGGAGGTCTATTGAGGGGTGGGAGGGGCAGGGGGTAGAAGGGGGGATTTTGTTGATCGTTTGAGTGGTTAGTTAGGTTTAAAATAGTGATGTTTGATGGTATATTACGAGTATTTTGAGTTACCTTGACGGAGTCGATGGGGAACATGAGAGAGTGTTCCATGACTCCTGCTAGAGCACCAGCCGTCATGTGCACTCCTATACTGCCTGATGGCAAGCTCTCGTAGTCGTCAAACTCCATCACTCTCTCAGTATCACTCCTCGTTAGTGCTTCCCGGGTAGAAGGTCAGTGTAGTGATAAATGGCGGAAAAAGGAGTGGTGATAGAGGCGAGAGGGAGGGAGCGAGGCGCTGCTTCACACAGTCGCTATAACACTGACCATCACCCTCACTCTACCTTCACTAAATATTACCCCCATAACCCCCTTCCCTCTCACTTATCAACCAAGACACTACCAGTTTACTGCCATCTCTTACACATTAACCACTATATATATGCTGCATCAGTTACAGCATCTGTAAAATAGTAGATGGCGCACCATCACAGCATTTATACGTCTGGCAGTCACTTGGGGAAATTTTGAGAGACGTCTGTTTCTAAATAATATATATTTTAATTAATCAAGTAAACCATAAAATTATCACAATATTATATAACACACATGCAAGAGATTATGAGATGATAAATAAAAATGACTTACAATAGCTTATAACAAAACCGATCTCCTTCAGAAACAGACGCAGCACCCGCCATCATAATTATCCATACAGCATATACTTAATTTAATATTAAAATGCTACTGAAAATACAAAATAAAAAGGTATATACCTATAGGTAATAAGAAGGTTGGAGAATTATGGGAAAATGTAATAATGCAGTATCAGAGTGAAGCAAAAATTGTGATATAAGAGGATGGGTACTGGAGGAGAGAGTGATTGGTGGAATAATGAAGTACAGGATAAGATTTCAAATCCCGCCCGTGATATGGTTTGTTTGCAATCGTGTCATTACGATTTCATGAGTCAAGATAAGATTTCGTTCGGATTTTTAACCCTGGAGGGTTAGCCACCCAGGATAACCCAAGAAAGTCAGTGCGTCATCCAGGACTGTCTGTCTTATTTCCATTGTGGTCCTCAATCTTGTCCCCCAGGATGCCTCCCACACCAGTCGACTAACACCCAGGTACCTATTTACTGTTAGGTGAACAGGACAACAGGTATGAGGAACATGTCGAAATGTTTCCATCCGCCGGGAATCGAACCCGGGCACTCAGTGTGTGAAACGGGAGCTATAACCACCAGGCCACAGGGGCATGTAAGTTAGCATGAGATTTTTAGAAAGCAGAAGTGATATAAGGAGGGAGGAGTATATGGAGAGGAAAAGAGAGATTAAGAAAGTGATTATGAAATATAAAAGGGAATAAATAAGAGTGGGTGCTGTCAGCAGTTTTTTTGAGAATAAGAGAAAGTTTTGGAGTGAGATTAATAGGTCAAGAAAGCCTATGGAACGAATGGATTTCATAGTTAAAAACAGAATAGGGAAGTTGGAAGTATCAGGAAGATGGTGGAATATTTTCAGGTGTTAAATGTTAAAGAAAGTGATTGTATACATTGGCCAGGGAGAAATAAAATAATTTAGGAGGAAGAGCCAGATGTGAGTCTGGGGGAGGTACATGAGAATGTTATCCAAGGTACCTAAGAAAAGCTTTTGACACAGTAGACCACGACATTCTACTCCACAAACTTGACCATTACGGTATAAGAGGCCATGCGCTTGCTTATTTCAAATCTTACCTTACTAATAGGTATCAGTATGTCACCATTAAAGACACAGCATCAACAACACGGCCACTTGATACTGGAGTTCCGCAGGGAAGTGTCCTTGGTCCCCTGCTCTTCCTCATATACATCAATGATCTTCCAAACGTATCCCAACACCTGAAACCCATTCTCTTTGCTGACGACACGACTTATGTCATCTCTCACCCTAATCTTGCCACCCTCAACACCATTGTTAACGAGGAGCTGATCAAAATATCGACTTGGATGACAACCAATAAACTTACGCTTAACACTGACAAAACCTACTATATTATGTTTGGTAGCAGAGCAGGAGATGCACAAATTAACATTAAGATCGACAACACTCTAATTACCAGACATAATGAGGGCAAATTCTTAGGCCTGTACCTTGACAACAACCTGAATTTCAGCACCCATATCCAGCACATAACCAAAAAAGTATCCAAAACGGTTGGGATCCTCTCCAAGATACGATACTACGTGCCGCAAAATGCCCTTCTCACACTATACCACTCACTTATTTATCCATACCTCACCTATGCTATTTGTGCTTGGGGATCAACTGCAGCAACACACCTAAAGCCAATAATCCAACAAAAAGCTGCAATAAGAATAATCACTAAATCCCATCCCTGGCAACCCCCCCCCCCACTCTTCATAGATCTAAACTTACTCCCTGTTCAGTACATCCACACTTACTACTGTGCAATCTACATCTACAGGACCTTAAACTCCAATATCAACCTTGACCTAAAACGCTTTCTTGATAGTTGTGACAGAACCCACAGGCATAACACCAGACACAAACATCTCTATGACATTCCCCGTGTCCGACTAAACCTTTACAAAAATTCAATGTATGTCAAAGGCCCTAAAATCTGGAACACCCTACCTGAGAACTCTAGAACTGCAGACACATTCATCACCTTTAAAACTACCATTAGAAAACATCTTATCTCCCTGATACACCCCATCAACTAACTACACGAATACCACCTAGTGGTTCACACTTACACTCACTCACCCATTTGACCATAAACAGAAATATTAATCTCAATCTTAAAATAATGAATCCTATGATACTCCAATACTGAAACTATGTACTGTGCCAAAACAAAAGCATTCACATTGCTAAACTCACAAACTAGTATTTAGTCACTTAGCCATAATACCAACTTACCTCATAATTTGTAATATTTTAAAATAAAGAATTAAACTAAGTCTGCCCGAAATGCCTAGCCATGCTAGGTGTTCTAGTGATACACTCTGTAATCATTATTTTACTACGTGTAAACCACACAATAACCAAATTTCTGTAAACTCAGCATTGTAATCCTTATAGAGAATAAACTTTGAATATGTTTATTATGCACCCCATTCCCATCCTGTGGGTGGTAGTCACCCCATACCCATCGTGGGCGGTACTCACCCCATACCTATCCTGTGGGCGGTAGTCATCCCATACCCATCCTGTGGGCGGTAGTCATCCCATACCCATCCTGTGGGCGGTAGTCATCCCATACCCATCCTGTGGGCGGTAGTTACCCCATACCCATCCTGTGGGCGGTAGTCAAAAGATTACAAAGGTACATAATGGGTCCAGGGACTGGACCCCAAACTTATGATAGCTGAACTAGTTACAAAGGTAATGAACTCCAGGTAGATCTGGTCACGATCATGGCAAGTTACAGAGGTAATTTACCTGGAGTTTACCACCACAACCATGAACAAGTTACAAAGTAATGAACCACTGACACGTCCACACCTGGTCACAATTGTAACGAGTTATAAATACAAATATTAAGTGGATCATACACCCACACGAGTCATTTACCTGAAGTTTACTAATATAGGCCTGTTCTCAGACCAGGCCTGTGTGTGTATGTGTAATTACCTATTTGTAGCTACAGAAGCAGACTTATGCTTGTTGTGTCCCATTTTCAATACTCTCTTCACACATTTTCTGGAGAAGAAACATTTCTGCTTTCCTGGTCACAGACCGTGCCGCGGGGGCGTTGACCCCTGGAACTCTCTCCAGGTCTCCAGGTATCCCTTACCACTCCATTCTTTCTTCAATTTGCAACTGTGGCTTTTTGTTGTCCCTGTTGCATGCAATAAGAAATCATATTTATCCATTCTTGCAAGTTTTTCGAGACCACATATCTGGCTATATGTGTGTACTCACCTATTTATTTACATATTCCATTCACGTGGAAGCGCTAAACCCACAGGAATCAACGCCTGAGGAACGAGAGGTAATCAAGTTGAATTAAGAAACAAAGTTGAAATTAGCACCAATTCCTTTAATCAAGAGCCCCTCAAGAGCATCAAGGACCCTCCTTGATGAGAGTTAGGGCTATTTTTATTGGTGAAAGTATTAGTAATAGTGGAAGTGGTCAGAACAAGGTCACCTGGAAGCAAAATGCACTTTGGTCAATCCAATATTTTCAAATTTTTGGATTTATTCGTGTATTTCTTAGGAAATTCCATTTTTTTCACTGAAGCTGTGATACTTATGGTTTAAAAGACATTATTGATAAAAACTGCCTAAATAGACATATTTTGATTACATTTTGCTATTTAAAAAAATACTATCGTTAGTAGTAGTATTAATATTATTATTATTATTATTATTATTATTATTATTATTATTATTATTATTATTATTATTATTATTATTATTATTATTATTATTATTATTGTGTCATAGATAATTAAGGACAACCATCGTGTATAAGGATCATCCTGCGTCATGTATGATAGAGTATAAGGATCATCCTGCGTCATGTATGATAGAGTATAAGGATCATCCTGCGTCATGCATGATAGAGTATAAGGATCATCCTGCGTCATGTATGATAGAGTATAAGGATCATCCTGCGTCATGAATGATAGCGTATAAGGATCATCCTACATCATGTATGATAGAGTATAAGGATCATCCTGCGTCATGTATGATAGAGTATAAGGATCATCCTGCGTCATGCATGATAGAGTATAAGGATCATCCTGCGTCATGAATGATAGAGTATAAGGATCATCCTGCGTCATGTATGATAAGTTTTAAGGATCATCCTACGTCATGTATGATAGAGTATAAGGATCATCCTGCGTCATGTATGATAGAGTATAAGGATCATCCTGCGTCATGTATGATAGAGTATAAGGATCATCCTGCGTCATGTATGATAGAGTATAAGGATCATCCTGCGTCATATATGATAGAGTATAAGGATCATCCTGCGTCATGCATGATAGAGTATAAGGATCATCCTGCGTCATGCATGATAGAGTATAAGGATCATCCTGCGTCATGTATGATAGAGTATAAGGATCATCCTGCGTCATGTATGATAGAGTATAAGGACATCCTGCGTCATGTATGATAGAGTATAAGGATCATCCTACGCATGTATGATAGAGTATAAGGATCATCCTGCGTCATGTATGATAGAGTATAAGGATCATCCTGCGTCATGTATGATAGAGTATAAGGATCATCTGCGTCATGATGATAGAGTATAAGGATCATCCTGCGTCATATATGATAGAGTATAAGGATCATCCTGCGTCATGCATGATAGAGTATAAGGATCATCCTGCGTCATGCATGATAGAGTATAAGGATCATCCTGCGTCATGTATGATAGAGTATAAGGATCATCCTGCGTCATGTATGATAGAGTATAAGGATCATCCTGCGTCATGTATGATAGAGTATAAGGAT